GTCTGAAAATCTATTTTTGCAGATAAATAGTACATTCTTCAATTTGATAAAACTTTGCCCACCCAAAAGAATGAGAGGTCGTGATCAAACAAGTTTCATAACATACTTAAAATTGCACTATACAGATTGAGCAGGAGGCATATTGTCACAAGCCATGTGCAAAACACAAACACCAGGGGTCTGGATGCACCATAAATCAGTCAGCTTCGAAATTCGTATAGCTCTATTACAATAAAGAAGAGTGAATAAAACTGGCTCGACCACACTCCAGACAAATTGATCATAAGAACTTCAGAAAATGTACAGATATTTGATAGCATTACGCCACACAATTGACTATAAATTTTCCAAAACCCCCAAAAATCCATCTGGCATAGGACATCATTTACAAGTTACCATGACTTTGAAACTGGATAAACCAAAAGTTTTCCTCGCCCAGTTCAGCAAGCAAGCAAAAGGCTAGAAACTCAAGGAGCACCTTGCACGCTTCACGCAAAACTACACCCCTTTGGACAGCCAACTACCAACAAGAGCTCTCTCTCTCTCTCTCTCTCTCTCTCTCTCTCTCTCTCTCNACACCTTAATATCGTGAGTCCGAATCTAGATGTCTCCTCTCCTGTGGTACAATAGTCGAGTATCTCTCTTTGCAAGCAAAATGTTTCAGATTCTATATTTTTCACACATCCTAAGGGTTAACTACTCTTATTCTTCAGGATGCATGTCTTTAAACTAGTTTGAACTACAATGACCAATCTAATAGCTCAAAAAAATTACCGATGTAAACCTGAACATTCTGTAACAATAAAAAAAATAAGGCACAATCACTTGCAATCCAAGTGTGAATCACGCGCCATAATGAAATAGTGGAATTGTGTGTTTCCTATATAGTTTTCTCATTAGTAATGAGATGTGAAGTTTCTTAACCACTTCCTAATATGCAAGTATTACAAGTAATTAGACCTTCTTGGAGACACAAACAAGGACCATTTAGACAGTTGGGCCGGCGGGACCCATAGGTTGCCGTGACCACTCCCCCGCCATATATTCCATCTGAACGCAGCACCACTTTTGTGGACTTAAAATGATCCCAGCTTCCATGATTGTTCATCGCTATTTAGTATATTTAAGATACTTTGAAAAAAACCCTTCATAACATACTTTGAAAAGGAAAGGTGAGTAAATTCTCGACATGACACATTGCCATGATAAAAACCCAACAAGAAATTAACATGCTATGGTTAATTAATTATTGGCACGACCTCAAAAATAACACTTACTATTAACACTAATAAAAGAATTAAATTGGTATCAAATATGAATGACACGAATTTAAAATGATAAACATTATTTAAGTGATATTGTCCAAACCAAATGAATCATTTTTGTCGTCAAGTACCGACATAAATCATTGTAAAACATGAGGATTAAATGATTTTTTTTTGGATTTTAAGTTGTCAAAAAAAACGTGTGATTGATTCGTTTGAAAAATAGTTTAGTATTGGTCTTCAATTTTTTATTCACTTGTTTTACGGATCAACTTGAACACGACACGTCGTATTAGTATTAGAATATTTAGTATGATTTATAAAATAAAATAAATTAAGATTATCTAACATTCAACCCGAACTCAATGACATGATAAGAAGACAACTCAATTGCCACCCTACCCCTAGGAGAGGGTATGAAAACGAATGAGACTCGAAATCAACCTTGAGGTCAACAACTTTAGCACTCGGGCGACCTTATGATTGTTACTCCAATCGTGAACAAGCTTAGAAGACAAAATGGGAAAAAAATTTCTTTGTGGGACCAAATGCAGCACCTAAACGTCTCGAATCATTCAAGTAATCTTCTAATTCCATAAAAGAAATTCCCCCTTTGAATCGACTACAACATAATATTTTATTAAATCTAAAATCTCAACTTTAGTAGCATAACAATGTTAATAAAATTTACTTCTTGGTTCCAAAAATGACTCCCCCTTGTATCCACGGTATGGACTGTAAAATCACTACACATCAGACCAAAAGGAGCGTCTACCTGGATGAACATGGACCCAACTACTATATTCCCAAAGCCCCAGGACCTGTAGGTAGTGAGAGCTCACAACTACTTGAACCCAACATTCCACCGCCGACGTCATCGGTGGCCCATTCTCTTTGGTGGATCTACTCCCCTACAAATATTCATTGCAATAATCCTATGCTCGCATATAATACAAAGACATTTTAATTTAGCCTATAAACTATCCCTTCCGTGACTCAAACTCATGACATAATGTCAACTCTAATACCAATTATTATAAACCCATAGATAAAACCATCCCTTAGAAACCGATTTTAAAAGAAAAGAATGTTCACAAATTCATATACACACATCTATTCTTATCTTATTTTAACTGATGTAAAATCATAATATTCTCCCATGCTTCCGTAACCAACATCCACAACCCCCAACGCATAATAAGTAACTGGATTAAAATTTAGTACTTATTAACACATTAAATAAATTTTTTTTTAGTACTTATACGCATAATGACATCACACGTATTGACACCACTATTGACAGAGTCTTGCTTACCCTCTCAGCGCTCCATAAAATGATCTGATTATCATGCAATTTTAACAATGTTTAAGCCACTCGGGAGAAATTTGGAGAAAATCTGAATCTATTTTTGCATTTGAGATGTCTGAAAATCTATTTTTGCAGATAAATAGTACATTCTTCAATTTGATAAAACTTTGCCCACCCAAAAGAATGAGAGGTCGTGATCAAACAAGTTTCATAACATACTTAAAATTGCACTATACAGATTGAGCAGGAGGCATATTGTCACAAGCCATGTGCAAAACACAAACACCAGGGGTCTGGATGCACCATAAATCAGTCAGCTTCGAAATTCGTATAGCTCTATTACAATAAAGAAGAGTGAATAAAACTGGCTCGACCACACTCCAGACAAATTGATCATAAGAACTTCAGAAAATGTACAGATATTTGATAGCATTACGCCACACAATTGACTATAAATTTTCCAAAACCCCCAAAAATCCATCTGGCATAGGACATATTTACAAGTTACCATGACTTTGAAACTGGATAAACCAAAAGTTTTCCTCGCCCAGTTCAGCAAGCAAGCAAAAGGCTAGAAACTCAAGGAGCACCTTGCACGCTTCACGCAAAACTACACCCCTTTGGACAGCCAACTACCAACAAGAGCTCTCTCTCTCTCTCTCTCTCTCTCTCTCTCTCTCTCTCTCTTGCACTCACACACGCGCGCGCGACATTTTAGAACAATAGCAGGTTATATGTTAGTTCAGAATAAATTTCCTGCTAAGGATAAAGGCAGGTGCATTTGGATAAAGGCATCCAAGTACAAAGTTGGGTAAGGTTAGTTTAGAATCCTGTGCCATTTCCAAGAGGACGGACAAAAATATAGCACTCAACCAGTGCAAATAATTCCATTCTGGCAAAAAACAAGTAATTAACTATCTGAATTGAACAAAGCTCTAGACAAATAAAGTTTCTTCTTAACAGCAAGTTTGTATAATATCTATAATAATAACTCAGCTTACCACCATTAATCGAGGCCTGAAATGGTTAGATAGGGTAGAGACCGTGCCACTATTTGCACAAAAATGACAGCACTCAAGTTTGAATCCACAAATAAGCCAAACTTGACCACTAAACCAATTAACCCTGCTTAACATACTAATAATAAGGAATATTTTGTCTGCCAATGTTATTATGCCCACATACAGAAACGAACAGACAGAATAACATGATCAGATGTGAAAGGCCCCAACAAATCTTCAAGTCGGCAGCAATACAAAGTAAATAATATACCAGATCCACTATATCTAATAACCCCCATCACTAACAAGGCCAACAACAACAATGATAGCAGAATATGACATACTCGATCCTCGCCAAAAAGGGCAAGCAACATTCTCATGGAAAAGAAAATGCCTCATAACAAGTTTCATAAGTATGTGCATGCATAAAATAGGCAATGAATATCAATCATTTGAAGATATGCAAATCCAGTGCAATGCACAGAGACATAGTAAGAATGGGCGGTCACCATCCTCTATTTCACAATGCAAAGATTCATTCCAAAAACCAAGAGCCCTTCACCTTTTTAATACTGAGCATACCATCGCATTACAAAAATAGGTAAAAAACTCAACCACCAAAATTCCCAACTTCTAAATCAAGGTCTTCTTAAACATGCCAACTTCAAGAATTTTGATTTCTTTGTTTTCATAGCATTAGGCTGTTGGGTTTAGCTTTACTTAAAACNAATCAACCACCAAAATTCCCAACTTCTAAATCAAGGTCTTCTTAAACATGCCAACTTCAAGAGTTTTGATTTCTTTGTTTTCATAGCATTAGGCTGTTGGGTTTAGCTTTACTTAAAACTGATATTTGGTTCGGACAGTGCAAAAAAGGGTTCAATTTCAGTTTCCAAGTTTTAGGGCTTTTAATCTATTTAGGAGAGGTTTTTTATGTATCTTTGTGATGCTAAGCTTGAACCAGAGCACAAATTCGAGCTTCTAGTACAAAGGACAAGCCAATTCAACCTAAACCAGAACAATCGATATGGAAGCCAAGTCAAGTTTGAGCAATAATCCAAGCTCGGCAGTAGAGATTGAGCTAAACTTAAACCCTTCTCCTACAACTCAAGAAAAGTCTGCAATTCATAAATCTCGGAAGTGTTGGCTCAAGAGGGCCTCCTGTCCTCATATTTAGTTGTTTTTTTAATCCTTCCCAATCAATCCAACTGCAAACCAACAATGGATGCCCAAAATACACTTCCGGTCTACAATAGGCAACTTTGTTCAAAAGTAGACAAACAACTTGCCAATCTTTCATCACTTCACGATCATGATTGTCAAATCGCGATTCGTATCATGAATCGGAATCCTAATTTTGATAATCATAAATCATATCGACTCGTGAATCGTAAGATTCGATACAAAATTTAAACAAAAATAAAAAATAATACTACATATTTAAAATAGACAAAACATTGAATATTAAACATTATTGCATTCTAAAAATAATCAATTGGCATAATCACGTCGTTTAAATGAAAAGACGCTAGACTTTTACTTCATTTTTATTTTTTTGCTTAACCATTTTCAAATTCAACAATTTGAAAAAAAAAATTCATTAAAGAATCATGACTATTCAAAAATCAAAATAGTGACACCCAATATAGATTAGGTTACAAACACGAATAAAAAAAGAACAAATAAGAAAATTGATTGGGAAAAAACATACAGGCCAACATTTTGAAACAAAAAATTAGAACCTAACAAATTACCTATAAAAAAATTGAGAGCAAAAACCAACCAATAATTCGAGAGCGTTAACCCTGACCTTTATCTTAAGACAACACAAGGCGAGCTTTAGACAACATCAGAGAGAGAACGAGCAAAAAGGTTGAGTTTTTATTAGAGCATGGGTTTCTCTACAAACAAAACGATGTCGTTTTGCCAAAAATTTAGGTTTTTTTAAAAAAAGTGATTGAATCGTGTGATACGAATCGAATTGTACGATTCAGGTACGATTCAGGTGCGATTCAACTCTAAAACAATTCTCATATAAAATACGAATCGTTTTGTACCTATATCAAATCAAATCGCGAATCATACGATTTTGATAACTATGTTCACGATGTTATAAGCCCGAAACCAACTACTGAACCAACTAGAACAATGTCACGGGCAAGGACCAAAATTTTGTTTCGGTCAGCTTGGAAACAGAAACATTTTAGAAATAATTTGAAACCAGCTTGAAAATAGAATAAAAACAGAAAAAAATTTACAAATTTGTTTCTAAACCATTGGTTAAAATATACCAAAACACCTCGAAAAAATATTCAAAAACGCCTTAAAACATAAAAATTAAGATATTCAATTCGGAATCCATGGAAAAGGAAATGTTTTTTGTCATTTTGGTGTAAAAGAAACGAATTTTTGATCCTCAGTCACCAGGTACTTCATCTAATTCCTAACACGTAGCTCAAAAGATAAGGCTGCAAACAAATCTGAAATAAGATATCCGAGTATATCAGTCTACACATTCATGACTAGTTCGCCACACATACTGTCGGCCAGTGTAATTAAAAGCGCGCCTAAGTGACCACCTAGGTGAGAGGCGAGCCCAGGTCGCCTAAAGTGTCTTAGGCAAAGCAAGCATTTTCGGAAGGAACAACTTAGTGTCAAAAGCAAGAGCTTCACACTTAAGCAAAAGCAAAGAACCGAACGCTTGACTAAATTTTTAATTTTACTTTCAGGATCTTTTTTGGGCTGTTAGATTTCATGAATTGGATCAGAAAAATCAATATGACATATGACAACCGATTGCAACTTGATCCATATATATGTGTAACCCTAAAATTTCTTCGACATAATTGATCGAGGATTGGAGGCAGCTGGATGGTAACAAACTTGAGGGCTGAAGTCAAAGTCTAATCCTAAAATTTCAGTGTTTCTGTTTTATTTTTATTTTGCTGTTTGTCAGGTTATTTTTTATGTTGCTTTTATATTCTGGAATGCCTGCTTTCTGGTTTTTTATTTTTTTATTTTTCTATTTCTTTATATTCTGAATTGTTTACCTGCCGTTTTTTTTCATTTTGGTTGCTATTTAGATTCTGGGATGCCTGTTTTCTGGATTTTGTATGACATTATTTTTTATTTTGATTCTTTTTATATTCTAAATTGTATCACTGTTTTTATTTTTGGTTGCCATAAGTATTAGAAATATAACTGGTGTTTGTTTCAATTTTAAAGTTTATGCTTTTTGCTGCATTTGAGAACTAGGAACTTGAACATTTAGTTGTAACTAAACTAAAATATTTGCTTGTTTTTTATATTGTTCACCTTGATTCGATGAAGCTCTCACTTCTCATCTCGCCTAGATCACAGGAGACCTAAGTGCTTCAGTTTGCTTTAAGCCTTAAATAACACTGCTCTAGTAGTCTAGTAACAAGGATTTATCTATATGCTTATTTAATTATGTAAAATACTGGGACTGGTTTAGTATCATATTCATGCTGTATCTAATATTTACCGAGCAAAATGAAAACAGAGGCGTCCATAAAATTCTGCCAGAGTCGCATACTGCAAAGTTCGGTTCAATTTGTAAACAGGAAAGAATTCACATCCTCAGCCTATTTTTGAGTGACAAACAAAAGAAAAATGTACAACATTTCATTCACAAACATGCACGACTTCGGAGTAATTTAATCAGTTTCAGGTATTATTGAGGCTTAGCTTAAGTGCACACAAATAATTCATTTGGAAACTCAAACATGCGTCGTGATCCAAAAAACCAATGCAAACAAAAAATATAACTGTCATAAAAAGCAGTCCAAAATAAACCATGGAAACATGAACTAGAAAATAATTTGAAACCAAACCAAATTCTTGTGGAAAAAGCTTGCTAAAGACAAATAAAATGACAAAAAAGTATTTCAGTTATTTATGAAAACTATGGTAAGAGCTTCAATCAGATATTAGGGGCTTCCGTCTAAGGAATTCAATCACTCAAATAAAAACAGAGATCAACCCGAAGCATATATATATCAGGAAAGTTTACCTTGCCAAAGTGACAAGTCAAGAGTTCTTTGAATATGTTTCCGCAATTGCCCACAACATTTCCCTCCCTTACTGCTTATAGTAAGCAGAATCCCAGCTTCCAAAGAAAGGTCTAGATTAAGCAGGTCTCTCACCTAAAGCTAAAAATATTGACACCGACTCCTTTAGTATTAGTAAGATAGGGCGAGAGAGGAACAAACTGAACCAAGACTTGGAGACAGAGAACGAGAGTGAAGTGAAGGTCCTTTTTCTCATTGACTGGCCCTTGTTGCACTTAAGAAAGAGTGAAAGACTTCAAAAGGGTACCCTTCAAAAGATATTGGTACTCCATTCAGGAAAAGATAATATTCATATTTTTACCCAAAGGAATTCTATCCATCCCATCCATGCAGATTAATGTAAATGGCAGAGGAACAAGTACAACAATGAATGGATCTGCATCACTCATTTTACATCGTTAGATAGAGGAGATTTTATTTTGGATACAGTTGGTTGCAAATATCTTTAATTCTAATCTATGAATCCTGCTCAGGGGCGGAGCTAGAAATTTACCATAGTGGGGGCAGATTATAATAATAATAATACTATATGTACTTAATTTGAGAACCTAATTTAGAGAACCATGCATAGTCACTTCTTTTCTTTATTTTATTTTTTTGGGTGCTGTGCATAGTTAATGTTGATTTAGCAAATAGAACGCATTTAATGATGAGACTCGCTGGCAATTCAATGACGGAAAAACATTAGATCTTCAAATTAAGGCATCTATATCATTGCTCATTTAAAAATTAAAATAACTGAAATAATAGTAAATAAAAAGAGGTACCCCGGACTACTGTTACTGTAAGTTCTAGGGAGGGTAAGATATATACAGCCTTACCCTATATATATATATATATATATATATATATATATATATGAGAGGAAATTTTTGCGGCGTGAATCCTTATCACTTGGAATGGAGTAACCTTACCTTTTGCAATGGTCCCCGACTAGTTTTTATAATAGAAACATATTATACGATAATCTCATTAGTCATTATCCAATATGTCCAAATTAACATCGGTATGGAAGAGAGGACTAGATATAGGAAAAGATCACAGAGAGTGATGGATTCAACTAACTAAACATTTATAAGGTACCTAATTGAAAGTTAAGAAATTTAATCCAAATTAAAGTGTATGAAAATTTTTGCGTGAGGGCAAATCTAGAATATATTAAAATTTATCTAGAAAATATTTTGCAAAAAATAATTGAGTGTGGCTCCACCCCTGATAAGTATATTTTTGCTCCTTTAAAGGGAAAGCTGGTTGTGCTTCCCCACATTTAAATCTTTGTTTTCTCTATGCATGTCTATTTTTTTGTGAGTTTTTAAGAGAGAAGTGTGCCGGGCGTTTGGGTTTTGATGGGTAGGGGGGTTTTTTTGGTGGGGGTGGGGTTTGGTTGTTGCCAAGGTTTCTTCTATCAATTTTGAGAGGGGTCTTATCGATGTGGAGACTCACCATACATATTAAGTAGATGAAAGACGAATCAAATCTAAGATGAGCAACATAAACTACAAAAACTGCCACTCGGAGAATCTGAGGACAAAAACAGAATACATCGTCTAAAATCTTAATTAAGCAGGCCATTCAGATTTCAGGAATAAAAACTGGATAGTTTTTTGCCAAAGTACACAGAAAAATCGGAACAATAAAATCATGGACTAAAATCATAGTGGTCCAAATTTTATAAGGAAATGCAATACTATCAAGGGAAGATATATCAGAATGCATAAACCAGATTGTGTACTTCATATGGGACACAAATTTTGGACCAGATTCTGTGCTACTCTCTGGCAAGCATCCTATCTTATCACTAAGTCTAACAAAGTCTCAACTTGTGGCATATTTAGTATATTTTCTTGGACCTGGTTGTTTTGGGAATTTCATATTTGGTGCTGCACTACATTGGTGGTCATGTGCTTTATTTCTGTTAAGAAATGAATAATTAATATTGTGTGGTCTGTGTAACCTTGAGTGGCTTAAATTAGTCCACATTCCGACAGTTCAGATTTCAGTTCAACAGCTACTAGCTTAATTGTCATCTCCCATCTCCACCAAAGGGAAAGCTTCATGGTTCATGGTCGCAGTATCAAACAGCAACTCGGAAGGAACTAATACACATCAGTCGAGGTATCAGCCTATCCGCACAAAATGATAGATAGAAGACCCAAAAAATTATTGAAAAATCACAATAAATTTTAAAAAAATACGAATAACAATATTCATGCATAATATGCTCGTAATATATCATCTAACACATTAAATATACAAAAATAATACACTATCGACAATATGTATCATCATTATCTTTTAATTTATCTTTTAATTTAAATATCGAAGAACAATTCAAACCATAGATCATATAAAAATTTATCCATAAATTTTAAATTTGTGCCCAATTTGATTCAACATATAGCTTTAAATAAAAATTAAAAATACAAATACAAATATATGCAATTTTAGATCACTTAAAATTTTAATAATTACACACTAGGATATTTTAGTCTTTTACCCAACCACAAGGGAAAAGAAAGTTATAGATTTTTCTTTGAAAAAGTGAGTCTTGGACTCTGTAGTTTGCACAAGACGAAGGGATTCTTCAATATTATAGGAACATGGGTTTTTCCTTTGGATCTCAGATTTCTGATATCTTTCATGTCCTTTTCAATCAGGCTTTTTTTCTTGCAAAATTGTACAAAGATTTACCTATGTGGGTCTCATCTTTTCTTCTTCCTTTCCTTTTGGCTTTGGATCTTTGCTTTTTTTTGTTTGAAATGCTCAATTTGCCAGAGATTTCACCACATCAGTTCAAAACCAGTATAACTCATCAAAATCAAACGAGTCGACTCCAAGTTGTATCGATATAGCCGAGTCATGACCGATTCAAGTCTTACTCGCAATGTATATGTATCTTGTATAATTATCGGATCAGAGGCAACCGAGTCATATTAATCCCCAACCCACATAAATAGAGAAACAATAAAATAAAAAAAGGGAGGAATTTATGAACCCATCTAGATAAGAATCTAAAAGTAGTTCAGGTACCCTTTCAATTCAACACTAGCTAGAAGCGTCCAAGCTGATCGTGGTCAAGGTGCTAAAGGTGAGGCCTAATGGGTAATCAACAACATCTCTGGTAGGACATTGGCATGAAGGGAGAAAAAAAACCAGAGTCGGCCATGGTTGAGAGACAGAAAATTATTCAGGGTGAAGGGAGAGGCTCACACAGTCACATGAGTCTGACAGATTCTGAGAGGTAGGGCAGTGCACCATTATAAAGTTGGGCGATTATACCAAAAGGGTTTAATACCGGTTTGAGTTGAACTTGAGTAATTCGATACCCTAACCCAAGTACTACACCAGATTTAAATCAGATTAGGATTTATTTGCTCAAGTCCAATCCGAGTATTGAATATCTTGGCCCAGGTCTCGAATTATTCGAGTTGGATTCGTTGATGCTTCTCATATTATGAAGACTTGTACAAAGCGTACCCCTTGTAATTTGTGAACAAATAAATCCCAATATAGACACAAAGTTATTGAATAAATTTAATTCCAAAAAATGGAATAGGGCAATCTCTATGCACCAAAATCTTTAATTAAGATATACAAAGTATTTAATGAATAATACACTGAATCATGGGATTCATTGAGATTTCATCTAATCTATTAGGAATTTTATATCTTTTTTGGATATATAACTACACATATCTTTTCTTTTTAGAAAAAATTGATAGAATATTCCGCGATATAACGAAACTTTATTTTAGCTTAGGCCTATCACCCAAGGATGACCTTGGCGAAATGAAAAACTATGGATAAGATAAGCCATGAAAAACATGATAGTGCGTCATTAAAGGCTAAAATCCTTCACAGAGGAATAATGAAATAGGATCCATGTTTTACGGGCAACCAATAGAATAGAACAAACAATTTCGTAAGATAGAGAATTCATAAAGGTGCACTATCTCCAGTTTGTCAACATTTAAAAAAAACACAAATAGCAAGTCAAAAAGAGTTTAATAAATATATTTCTTGTTTTCAAAGGTTTATGTAAAACCATCGTTTCACCCTATCAGAAAGAATACAATAACAAATATACAGTTAGCTAGGTTACAACTTATAAATTACTAAAGTTTAACTATATGGTAATACTCCAGTTGTCTAACAACAGAAAGGCTTGAATCAAGCTTTCACAATCCAAGGAAATCATTTAAAACCTAAATACTTTGTTTAGCGAGGACAAAATAATATTGCAGACTTAAAAATCTAAGAACCATTCCACCCAAAAATAATAGGGTGGACTATTCCCGCCCACAAATTTCCGTTCCCACCCCATTAAACTATAAATTATAAAACTATTAACTTCACCTCATCTATACCCACCCCACTAATAACTAAATCTACCCCATTCTATACCTACCTCATTAATAACTAAACTTATCTCCATCTTAACTAAAATATATTCAACTGGATTATCTATTAAAACTGACCAAATAATTGTGTACAGACTGTGTGATTCGAAAAGAGAGACTTGATGATCTTTTTATTTTCCTTTTCAAGTAACTTAGCTTCAAATGCGACCTCTTCCAATGAAGACTCCAAGAGATTTCTTTCTATATATTGAGAAATTGCGTGTGAAGAACTTTTTCCCAGCGAATTCCTTTAACCAATGATTAAGAAAGGAAGAAAGAGAAGCACATAGTAAAATCCGAGTACTATTCCGACGATGAGATCGGAGAAAATAGAGATCGGACGGCACAGTTGAAGCAATTTACATGAAAGAAACCCGGAGTTGAATTCAGTTGAGTACATTTTGTGTATAGACTTTGTGAGATGGTAAAAATTGAGATTAGTTTTATTATCAATGAGATGGGTATAGAACGGGATAAACTTAGTTATTAGTTGGGTGGGTATAAAAAGGGTGACCTTAATAGTTTTATGATTTATAGTGTAAGGGGCTGGAACGGATATTTGTGGGATTGGAATAGCCCCACCCAAAATAATATGCAACAAATGATTCATGCAAAACTATAAACAAACAGTTGTAAACAGTAGAACATAACACAGTAGTTGAAAGCGAAACAAGAATCCCACAATGGAATCCAAATGCAACTTTAAGACAAACATTTGAAAAAAACAAATTAAGAATACTTACAAGACTTGAAGAAGCATGGGAGGCACACCCTAAAAAGGTAAAAAGAACATATCAACATTGATCTTTTGAATGACATGGCCTTTAAAAAAAAATCTTCTGTACAAGTTTAACACAGTAAAATCAAACGGGGATCACTCACTGAAATTTAATCTCACTTCAAAGCTGGCACCCGTGCACCTCCAGTATATATTCCTCCAGAATGACCAAGCCATGGATCAGATGCAATGTAATTTTATTAGAACATGTACTTAATTAAAGACAGAATGAAGAATCAACAAAGCAAGAACTCAAAGCTCAGTGGTTCACCAACATCAACACAAAGGTACATATATATAGATAAGCTTACTAGGAACACAGTAATACGTGTCAAATAAACACATCGACATTGACAAATGTTGGGAACTAGAAAAGAATAGTTGCTTGTCCAACATATAAATAATAAGACTCCGTCCCATCCAGAGCAATCGTAAAAGCATTAGCTTCTTTCCATGGAGTTACAATACTATAAGCACCACAAACAATTCCCAATTCTATAATTTGCACCCAGAGAATGCAGATAAACTAACTTATGACATGAGGAATTTGAAAGAAAAGTTGAATTCTACTCATATCAATTCCCATCATAACCAGAACTGATGTTAACAGTGAAAAAAACTAAACTTACAACAAATATCATATCAAGGGTGTCACAATAAGCTCCTAATAAACAAACTAAGGTACCTTCTCCAGAGTGCCTTTTAAGCATCTAAAGCACTGAATGTTGCTTCATAGCACTGGAAGACATCCTGAATGAAAAATTGAATTAGACTCTCCAAGACCTCATATTCGGAAGAAGAAGAAAAATCAAATAGACATGATAGAGTTGTAAATGAAAAATAATGGGAGTCCATAGTATTACAAAGCAGGAGAGAGGATAAAAATATCCCACAAACCATGCTATACTTTGTGTTCACGTACAGTAAAACCTACCCATCTGGGGCATAAAAAAGGCAAGGAGAAAGAGAAAAAAGTATGAGAAAGAAAAAGAAAAAAATAAGGAAAATATGCCTACTTATCCTAGCCAACAGTCAACAAAAAATAATTGTTAATTTCCAAGCCCATAAAAGACCTGCAGATACAGTTGCTGGAATTAATGTCCAAAGTACAACTTAATGATGAGGGGAAAAGAAAATATATGTTAAGAGCTTTCTTAATGGTCACCATCAAGAATGAGTACAAAAGGGAAAAACGCCTTTGGCGAGTTGTCTTACAATAGAAACAGAACATATTCCACCGAAAGAACCGCCATGTAAGAGGTCTCCCAACCAAACATCATCTCTGTCACAGCTTCAACCACGCCAAGAACTGTGTCCAAAGCTCTCAAGCCAGCACAGAGAACATAAAATCCCAATGATTAGACATCTAAAAATAATGTACAAATATCTAGGGCAACAGCATTTCTGGAATCAGCATCATTTGTTCACTTGCCCGTGATGAATGGATGGCTCAATGCTTGTGATACTGTAATCCTCTTATCTGGATCCAACACGAAAATTTTTTCAAAAAGATCTTTGAAGTTGGCTAACATCTTCAGATCCTCCCCAGGAGAGCTCAAAAATATGGTACCAATATCTTTTGGCTTGATATTAACCATCAGCCTCTTTATAGCCTGCAATGAGAGAACTAAAAGTTCGATCAAAATGAAAAAAATGCCATAACCTATTTATGCGCAACAACCAGAAGAACAATCATCAAAAGGAAATAGGGCCATATTACTTCAACATCAATGGCTACCTTCTTTGTCACTGGATCCTCCTCTGTGGCAAGAAAATTCAAATCCTGGTCAAAATGCTGATCCGTAAATGCTCCCTGCAAGAGGGGGTAAAGAACAAGCACAGTTAGTCGCTCTAACTACCAAATTACAACACTAAAATATAGCATACATAAACGTGAAGCCAAAACCTAAAGAATTCAAGCTTTAACAGGATGAGATTAGTCTATTGATCTGGCAAACAGAAATCAGCTCCAAACCTTTCGAAGCATCTTCTTTGGAAATGGACCTTTCAATTCCATGTGAAGGCGAAGCATGTCATTGTTTGTAGCACCAGGAAAAAGCACCTTTCCGGTGTAAATCTCAAACAAACAGCAACCGACTGACCACATATCCAAGGGGTGATCATAAGGCAATCCCAAAACTGCATAATAAAATTCATCAGAAACTCAATCACTTTGGTTCCAACAAATGACACTATTTCCTAAACATCAACCAACACACATAACAATCCAAGAACACACTTTCCAACATTTGAAGCAGAGAGTTGATAAAATAGCTTAAGCATAATGCTTACTTATCTCAGGGGCACGGTAAAAGCGGCTCACAAGGTATGGAGTGATTTCGTTTTTACCAGCAAACATGGCATTACCAAAGTCACAAAGCTTCAAAACATTTTTTGCGTCATTTACCTGAGGAAAAAAGAGAACAAATATTAACATTACGTGTCAAAATCAAGGAGAAAAAACATAAGCAAGCAAAGCAGAAATGAATATATGGTACCTACCAGCATATTATCTGGCTTAATATCACAATGAAGTACGCCACAGTTTTTCAAATGCTTCAATGCAATGAAGAGTTGCTTTGCATATGCTCTCACAGCAGTCAATCTAAGACCGATATTACGGCCAAACTTCTTTAGAACCTCACGAAGATTCATATGAAGAGATTCAAAAACTAAACAAAGATGATTCCGGTACTTAAAACTAGAAAAAAAACGAACACAGTGGCGCTTGTCGTCCGGGTCTGCACCAACCAACTTCTTTAATATGACCAGCTCTTCTAAACCAGCCTTATACCTGCAGCAAATTAAGTGAAAGAAATTAGGTTGTAAAAACTAGCAATATCAATAAAGAAAACAACCAAAACGAGGACAAAAAGCAGGGGAACCAGAGTTACCCACATGGTGTCTTGATTACGTATTATTTTTATTGCAACTTCTTCTGGATCACCAGGCCCAGCCTTAAGATCCTTTGCACGAACCACCATTGAAAAGACACCTTTCCCATGAGCAGCAATAACTTCATATCGACCATCAAGTATTTCCCCAAAACGGTAACCTGCAAACCAAATAGATGACAGTGTTAGAAAGAAATCTTGATGACTTTCAGTATATCCAGGCACAAGAGTCCACTTGATACCCCAAAATTACTCAGAAATTCCAACTAATTATTCTCATGTTAAATTACCTTAAATGACATTTTCTAATCAAATCGCTGATATAAAAAGGCACAAAGGGCACATAGAACACAAGACTCCCACTATAGTAAGGTTCTGGCTCATGTAAAGAGACCCTTAATGCTAGGTTCATAATAGAGCAAACCTTATCGCCGCGCCAAAAGCCACCCCCCCAACTCTGATATTTTAAAGTAATCTTTCACAATTGTTCTAACTAAAACATATCAAATTCAAGAAAAGAATGTCAGAGAGATTTCAACACTACCACGATGCAATACAACAAAAACGAATTAAAGGCTCCTCACAACATTGAGGCGTTGAATTTAAATATTCAAGGACAACTTTTCACGCTTCACTAACTGTACAATTAGTTGAAAGGAAGTGCAAAAAGAGACAAACGGAAGGAGAACTATATCCAGCACAGCTGGCTGTCAAGGACAAGTTCTTCGAGGCAAAGTAATCATGTTGGAGCCTCATAGTTCTCAGTGAAGGTTCAACACCATGGCACTCTGCAAATTTTAGCCAAGATAAAAAGCATCCAAATGGTAGATACCCACCATTGCAAAATATGTGCTTCGCAAATGACAGGGAGATTAATATCATTCTCAAACAACGGGTATTACACCCACAAACCTGTAAGGTTTCGGCCAAAGACTAGGCAGGTTGTCATCCCTTTTGTTTGTCTTCCTTCAACTCCTTCGAATACCCCTATTTAGGAATAACTCGACCGCTATAGACCCAATTTTGTTAATCTTCTTTCTTCCAGAAGAAAGCCCATTGACTAAATCACATCATGAATAACATCTTTAAGCACCTTGTTAACGAAAGGAGTCAATGAGCTCCACTTCCAGATATTAGCATAAATTGGTCACTATTGCTCTTATCATCCGACTTAAAAGTCTAAGACCACACAGTTCACAAAATGAAAGCACCATCCAGAAACGATAATTTAACCACAAAATCAAAAGGCACTTCTTTGTTATGCCTAAAACAAAGGAAATTGGTGGCTTATGCAGGAAAAAATGGCATGCAAGCCATCTCGTTCACCTCGGTTCCACCAAATGACAGTGAATCTGCTTTCATTTTTCAATTTTGTTGAGAGGGTGTAAAATATCATAGGCACCCGTGTAAGTAAATATAGGACAGCAGTTAGAGCCAAAGGTCTGTGGAGGTTATTTTAACTCTTGAAGGCCTCAATATTATTTAGAATAGGATCATTCTTTTTGCGTTCCCAAGTTGTTTACTCCAAGAGCAATTTCCAGGCTAACTGGGAAGCATGCTAATGAAAAACCCATACAATATTTATCCAATCTTTTATTAAGACTATCAGCTTTCTGTGTGTCAGAAGTGCCAAGTATCCCATTTGTTCGTTTGTATTGTTTTCCATCCTTTACAACCACGGATCTAATCTCCGCTTATTTCTCAGCATAATTGAATTCCAGATTCAGGACATCAAATTGAGGGCTGACTTGCTGAAATTAGAGAGAAGGAACATATAGCTATGGAGGACACATGCATGCAAACAAATTCAGTATCAAGTTCTAAGGCATCACCAGCACCAAAAAAAAAATTCTAAAACATAGAGAAAGAATAAAAATTGATCCAATACTTACTATAGTATCCATCTGCATCATCCCAATTGTCATTAAGGCCACTCCTTTCAATTGCCAAGCCATCTCCTTTACCCTGGAGAACAGGAAAATAGGAAACACAGAAATAAAATAAATGGATTAAAGAGAAAAATATTAGAAAAATTATTCAAAATGAAATTGGCGGACCACAATATCCTTGCCCTAAGGATCAAAATTTCGTTTCGATGCATTGTTTCGATCACCTAGAAAACCGAAACGTNGATATTTTAAAGTAATCTTTCACAATTGTTCTAACTAAAACATATCAAATTCAAGAAAAGAATGTCAGAGAGATTTCAACACTACCACGATGCAAGATATTTTAAAGTAATCTTTCACAATTGTTCTAACTAAAACATATCAAATTCAAGAAAAGAATGTCAGAGAGATTTCAACACTACCACGATGCAATACAACAAAAACGAATTAAAGGCTCCTCACAACATTGAGGCGTTGAATTTAAATATTCAAGGACAACTTTTCACGCTTCACTAACTGTACAATTAGTTGAAAGGAAGTGCAAAAAGAGACAAACGGAAGGAGAACTATATCCAGCACAGCTGGCTGTCAAGGACAAGTTCTTCGAGGCAAAGTAATCATGTTGGAGCCTCATAGTTCTCAGTGAAGGTTCAACACCATGGCACTCTGCAAATTTTAGCCAAGATAAAAAGCATCCAAATGGTAGATACCCACCATTGCAAAATATGTGCTTCGCAAATGACAGGGAGATTAATATCATTCTCAAACAACGGGTATTACACCCACAAACCTGTAAGGTTTCGGCCAAAGACTAGGCAGGTTGTCATCCCTTTTGTTTGTCTTCCTTCAACTCCTTCGAATACCCCTATTTAGGAATAACTCGACCGCTATAGACCCAATTTTGTTAATCTTCTTTCTTCCAGAAGAAAGCCCATTGACTAAATCACATCATGAATAACATCTTTAAGCACCTTGTTAACGAAAGGAGTCAATGAGCTCCACTTCCAGATATTAGCATAAATTGGTCACTATTGCTCTTATCATCCGACTTAAAAGTCTAAGACCACACAGTTCACAAAATGAAAGCACCATCCAGAAACGATAATTTAACCACAAAATCAAAAGGCACTTCTTTGTTATGCCTAAAACAAAGGAAATTGGTGGCTTATGCAGGAAAAAATGGCATGCAAGCCATCTCGTTCACCTCGGTTCCACCAAATGACAGTGAATCTGCTTTCATTTTTCAATTTTGTTGAGAGGGTGTAAAATATCATAGGCACCCGTGTAAGTAAATATAGGACAGCAGTTAGAGCCAAAGGTCTGTGGAGGTTATTTTAACTCTTGAAGGCCTCAATATTATTTAGAATAGGATCATTCTTTTTGCGTTCCCAAGTTGTTTACTCCAAGAGCAATTTCCAGGCTAACTGGGAAGCATGCTAATGAAAAACCCATACAATATTTATCCAATCTTTTATTAAGACTATCAGCTTTCTGTGTGTCAGAAGTGCCAAGTATCCCATTTGTTCGTTTGTATTGTTTTCCATCCTTTACAACCACGGATCTAATCTCCGCTTATTTCTCAGCATAATTGAATTCCAGATTCAGGACATCAAATTGAGGGCTGACTTGCTGAAATTAGAGAGAAGGAACATATAGCTATGGAGGACACATGCATGCAAACAAATTCAGTATCAAGTTCTAAGGCATCACCAGCACCAAAAAAAAAATTCTAAAACATAGAGAAAGAATAAAAATTGATCCAATACTTACTATAGTATCCATCTGCATCATCCCAATTGTCATTAAGGCCACTCCTTTCAATTGCCAAGCCATCTCCTTTACCCTGGAGAACAGGAAAATAGGAAACACAGAAATAAAATAAATGGATTAAAGAGAAAAATATTAGAAAAATTATTCAAAATGAAATTGGCGGACCACAATATCCTTGCCCTAAGGATCAAAATTTCGTTTCGATGCATTGTTTCGATCACCTAGAAAACCGAAACGTTTCGATGTGTTTCAGAAACGTTTCAAAACCAAAATGAAAAAAAATAAACAATTTAAGAATTATTTTTTCAAAACATTGGTCAAAATACACCAACAAATGTTGAACCATCTTAAAACATTACGAAATAATTATGCAAATGCATTGAAATATAACAAAATATTTTGAAACATAATAGAACACTTCGAAGTATTAGAATTTTGATTTCATCACAAATTTGTTTCGGTCTCCCTGAAAACGGAAATGTTTTGGATGTTTTGACCTATTCAAAACAATATTTTAATCCTTGATTGCCATGTCCTCAAATATGAGAGCTGAACAATAGTTCAAAATTCACTCATGCAACTTCTAAACATCCATTTTTGGATAAACGACATACGGTATACACATGAGACTTACCGATTTACGAACACCAGTGGGTGATTCTCCAAATATATCATCACAGAACATGTCATCTCTCTCACTCTGCAAGATTTGAGGAAAGTGGGGGAGGATGTCAACTTCAACTTCATCTGCCTATGAAAAATCCAGGCACATAAAGAAGGAATATGGTCCATGGAGATCAAGAATCCGCAACAAATCAAAAAGGTAAAAAATAAAATGAATAAAAAATTAGGTTCAGGACTCAGGAGAATATGTTTCGAATAATGTTAGGCAAATAAACAATAAAAAGATCCAAGCAATAGAAGGATACAAGTCCATTTTAAAATCTACACTAAATTCAGTAAAAGTTGACACACCTTAGGAGTACCCTCTCCAAGTCCCCCCGCACCAGAAGTCCTCTCAACAGTAGCAAGGTCGTTTTCTGGAGGGGATTTTCCCACAGAAAATGATGGCTCAGCAACATACACATCCGCACCATCATTCTGATCTTCAATAACTCCTAGAACAACAGTACCAGCTGCTCCAAGTTGGGAAGGTGGTTCCTCATGCTGCTTAACTGTACCAATTCAAATAACTATTACTGCAAACACAAAATAAATAACAAAACAAAAATAATGCGCATGTTACGAAGAAATCCAACATCATTTTAATCAAATATACGTCACATCAATCTAATACCACTATGCAATCCATTGAGTAGTAGATCTTGTTTCTATTGGTTTAGCTCTTCGTTTTACTATATCTTTTTTTATCGTCATTATTCTCCAACCTTTTATGATCTTGAACTGATGTTGAGTTGATAGGTCTAAATGTTCTTCAGGAAAAAACACGAAATAACATTATCATAGTTTTCATTGATTAGCAACTTTCATCCAAAAAGAGAAAATGATCCCCACCAAGTAAAAATCCTAGCTCGGCAAATATCCACCACATTTAAAAATTTCTTGTGACGACAGCACTCACAAGCATAAAATTATGCTCAAAGAAGACGACGACATAATGACAATCCAACCAACAACTCAAAATCTCTTACTATGCTGGAGCTTTAAAATAAGAAATTGAGAAGTAGTACTAAGCATGAAAGATCCTTACCCGCATCCTCTAAGGAAGGCTCATTTTGTTGTTGTAACTGCTGATATTTATACTTTTCAAGAATGGCTTGCCTTCGTCTTCTACTCTCCTCCTTGATTTTGTCAAGATTTTCGTCTTCCTGTTCAGCAAGCTGCAATGCAACCCTTTCCTGATAGTCCTCTTGTTCAGCTTCATCTCTGCAGACAACCAGACGTAAAAATTAACATCACTCAAAAGAAAACCTCAGGATTGACACCCGTTTACAAAAATCTGTTCAAGAAAAAGATCTACCTTCTAAGTTTCTCAATATCCTGTTCAGAAGGATCACCTTTGGAACCATGACTTGTTTCTACATCACTTTTCCTTGGTCGGTCTCTGCGGTCTTTTTCATCATGTCTCCTATGCCTCGAATCATTATACCTATCTCGATCACCATAGCCGTTATCAACATCATCATATTTACTGTGCCTGCTAACCCTGTCATCTTTGTCTCTACCTCTCTCCCTATTTCTATCCCTCACAATATCCCTGTCCCTCCTCCTGTCCCTCTCCCTTTCCCTCTCCCTCTCCCTCTCCCTCTCCCTCCTCTTTTCCCTCTCCCTCTCCCTCTCCCTCTCCCTCTCCCTCTCCATATCTCTATCTCTCTCCCTGGTTCTTTCTCGCATCTTGTCTAGTTCCTTTTCTCTTTTTCTATCCCTATCCATCTCCCTCACCTCTACATCTCCCTCCCTAGCCTCCCGGCTATCCTCCCTATCTCGTTCCCGAATCTCTCGATGCTTGTCTACACGCCAAGTATGCCTAGCATAACTAGAACTATGGTCCCTTTCTTGATCCCTCAACAAATCTCTATTTCCATCTCGATAGTCCCTATCACGTCTGATTTTCCATTCGTCGTCTGAATCATTTTTATGATTCTTGTCCATATATGATGCTCCATTATGTTGGAGTGGGATTTGGGAAGCCTCTCGAAAAACACTTTGGGAGCGAGACCTTTCCCCAGCCCTATCACGAGACCCCGATCTGTGCCTCTTATGATCCTCTTCCCGATGTCTGTCACGAGAGTATGGCAATGTGGGGGTTTTGTACCTCTTTTGTTCCTTTTCCGATGATGATTTTTCTTGATTCCTTAAATCATTTTCATTATCATAGTAGCTCTTTTGTTTCCCACTTCCATCAACAGAGAACCCAGATCCTGTGTGATTCCTGGTGTCTTCCTCACATGATTCATTTCCAGTAATCCCATTAGTAAGATGCTCAGCACTTGAATTTCTCCCCACACCAACATCATCATGGATCTTGCTACCATCACTCAAATACTCATTCCTACCCACAGTGGACTTAGACATCAAATCCCCATCACCCCTGTCCTCCCTCAATGTCAGTCTATCCTTACCTACTCTTTCCAAATCCTCATCCAGAGAAAAATTAGAATTTTTCCCGAGCCATCCTTGAGATTCACAAATTCCCTGCAAGATGATCCATGCAAACGAACTGATTAAACCCATAAATCCCAAATCAAAACAGAAAGAACCAAACATAAAGTCAAGCAACAGATGCAAAAATAGAAACATGTAACCAGTCTTACAAATCAATTGAATGCCATCATTCTTCCGGAAATGCCTACTGTATCTTTGCCTGTAAAATTGTAACAAATGGAGTGCAAAACTCCAATTGGAATTCATGTCTCACGTCTGTGTAGTCCAAACAGGTTCTAACATATATTATGAGGAAGCCAATGTACTCTAACAATGTCATCACGAATGAAGTTAATTACACCAACATTCAAAAATTACAACAGCAAAATAAAGCTGTTTGCCTGCTGAGAAACTGGACGAGAACAAAACAACGAGATTTTTCGAAACATTGGTATTTAGTTCCCAATTCACAAAATAGTCACTTCAGTTTGGCGTTCAGAATAGTATGACAAATTTTCCATCTCCAAGGTAGATAAAACAGTAGGAAAACCAAAACTTCAAGACAATTTTCCTTGATTCTCTCAGTAACCAAACAGATACTAAAATAAAATTCAAAATTATCAAGATAAAACATTAACCGTCTTTTCGATGGCCCATAAACCAGGTTAAGCTAACATTAAGAAAAGATTTTCAAGATTCTATAATTTTTCAAGTTGTTTGTTCCCAATTTAGGGGAAACCTCGGTGATTTATGGTTGTCATGGGTGATTAAATTTTCGTCCTAGTAAACCAGACCTAAAATATAGAAAAATTCAGATGAATTTCACGCCAATTTTCTCAGCAATCAAACAAATGCTAAATGTAAACTATACCTCAACCCAATAAAGAAAGAAAAAGGTGAGGGGAATCTGAACACACCATGTTGGAATTATCGAAATCACCGTGAACCTCAGCCGCCTTGAATTCACCTGACTCCACATCAGAATCAGCCGTCTTCTTCACCATCTCACCGTCTCCACCGCCTAAACCCTCATCCTCAACAATCTCACCTTCCTCCATATCATAATCAAGCCCCAAATTAGAACTCGAAACCACAACACCAACCGTAGGAGGACGTACAGCAACCGCCTGCTCCGCTTCCTGTTTGGTTTCTTCCACAGATATAATTTCATCTTCACGTGTGGTTCCGTCTTCTTCGTGTTTCTTGCTGCTGTGACGGTGGTGGTGATGACGGTGGCGATGGTGTCGGCGGTGCTTGCGCCGTTTCGGTGGTTCATCCGCCTCGTCGTCGGACGAGCGACGGTGCTTGCGACGGGAAGGTTCTTGGGAATCGCTGGCCATTGGTATGTATAGAAGGAAAGTTAGGGTTAGGGCTTGTTGTAGAAGAGGGACTGTAATGCGTAGATCCGTAAAGGGTAAGCGAATTATGAGACGAATGTGAGGGGAATAGTATCCCTATATCGGGTGGGTTAATGATAACCGATAGTAATATTCAGTCCCGCACGCTTAATGTATCCGGTTTATTTCGAATCCGACTCAAAATTAAACCTAATTAATAGAATATTACTTTAGAATCGGACCTAAATTCCTTTAAATATATTTTTTCTAAGATTCACTTTTTAGCACATAATTTATTATTAATGAATAAAAAATTTATTTTATATATAATGGGTTCTACTTGAACCCATGATAAATGATTTTCTATGTTTGAATTGGTTGATATATATCTTATACATATATATACTATTAATAAAAATATCTTAAAGATGAAAAATTTTTGAATTTCTATTTTATTCTTATAAAAAATTACAAACACCACTCTATAATTTCACAATTAGATATATAAATTATCATCATATTCCTTTATATTTAAATCTCCAAATTATCTATAACATCTATTTTCTATAAAACTCTTTAATTGATTATATTATCCTTAAAAATTATGCATCATTATATTTTTAATAAAGCATTCAAAAAAACCTTCAAAATTTNCCAAATTAGAACTCGAAACCACAACACCAACCGTAGGAGGACGTACAGCAACCGCCTGCTCCGCTTCCTGTTTGGTTTCTTCCACAGATATAATTTCATCTTCACGTGTGGTTCCGTCTTCTTCGTGTTTCTTGCTGCTGTGACGGTGGTGGTGATGACGGTGGCGATGGTGTCGGCGGTGCTTGCGCCGTTTCGGTGGTTCATCCGCCTCGTCGTCGGACGAGCGACGGTGCTTGCGACGGGAAGGTTCTTGGGAATCGCTGGCCATTGGTATGTATAGAAGGAAAGTTAGGGTTAGGGCTTGTTGTAGAAGAGGGACTGTAATGCGTAGATCCGTAAAGGGTAAGCGAATTATGAGACGAATGTGAGGGGAATAGTATCCCTATATCGGGTGGGTTAATGATAACCGATAGTAATATTCAGTCCCGCACGCTTAATGTATCCGGTTTATTTCGAATCCGACTCAAAATTAAACCTAATTAATAGAATATTACTTTAGAATCGGACCTAAATTCCTTTAAATATATTTTTTCTAAGATTCACTTTTTAGCACATAATTTATTATTAATGAATAAAAAATTTATTTTATATATAATGGGTTCTACTTGAACCCATGATAAATGATTTTCTATGTTTGAATTGGTTGATATATATCTTATACATATATATACTATTAATAAAAATATCTTAAAGATGAAAAATTTTTGAATTTCTATTTTATTCTTATAAAAAATTACAAACACCACTCTATAATTTCACAATTAGATATATAAATTATCATCATATTCCTTTATATTTAAATCTCCAAATTATCTATAACATCTATTTTCTATAAAACTCTTTAATTGATTATATTATCCTTAAAAATTATGCATCATTATATTTTTAATAAAGCATTCAAAAAAACCTTCAAAATTTCATCAATATAATATTACTAATTTTCATATGCAAATATAATATTATATCTACATATGTGTATTTTTTTTAATCAAAAAGTTTAACTCTCTCATTTCTAAGATAAAAAATAATCGTACAAATAATTTTTTTAAATAATTTATATTACATTAATATAATTCTTAATCTATCTATCTATCATCTATCGTATCATACTAATAAAAGTACCTTAAAGGTGAAAAATTTTTGAATTTCTATTTTACCCTCATAAAAAATTACAAAAACCACTATATCATTTCACAATTAGATATACTATATCATATACATGTGCGTTGCACATAAACCATTTTAAGTATAAGATATTGTCAATTACTATGTAACAATAATCAAATGTTTAGTTATTTAGATATTCATAGAATAAGCGGCCATTTACTTGTGCACCCATAAATTAAAAAACAACATAAGGATTTTGTTTTTAAAATTAACGAAAATAAAAGACTGAAAATCTGGGCCTTTTTGAATGACATGCTCTCGATATCAATATTCAAAATGATAATTTTGGGTCCTCAAAAAACACATTTTTACTTGGATTTTGGTTCTGCAATATAAAAGCATGATGACACAATAATGCTATTAAAAACATATAAGACTATTGAATGAGGAAAACTTATTTTTCCAAGTGGCTGGTAGTTAAAACACACTGTATCACTCATGCTTAGAGAAGTTAGATTCTCATTTCACAAGTCCCTCTTAGTAATACATGCTACCTAATATAAGCAATTTTTAAAAGGAAAATCATAGCAATCTATGAAAATGATGAACATGTGTTTGTGTGTTTGCTAATAAGTGTTTTTGTCTCAATAATTGGGTACTTGAGTTTCCTTGCTTCAAGTTTGGTGAGAGTAAAAGATTTTATCACCTTGGATCGNTCATCAATATAATATTACTAATTTTCGTATGCAAATATAATATTATATCTACATATGTGTATTTTTTTTAATCAAAAAGTTTANTTATCAATATAATATTACTAATTTCATATGCAAATATAATATTATATCTACATATGTGTATTTTTTTTAATCAAAAAGTTTAACTCTCTCATTTCTAAGATAAAAAATAATCGTACAAATAATTTTTTTAAATAATTTATATTACATTAATATAATTCTTAATCTATCTATCTATCATCTATCGTATCATACTAATAAAAGTACCTTAAAGGTGAAAAATTTTTGAATTTCTATTTTACCCTCATAAAAAATTACAAAAACCACTATATCATTTCACAATTAGATATACTATATCATATACATGTGCGTTGCACATAAACCATTTTAAGTATAAGATATTGTCAATTACTATGTAACAATAATCAAATGTTTAGTTATTTAGATATTCATAGAATAAGCGGCCATTTACTTGTGCACCCATAAATTAAAAAACAACATAAGGATTTTGTTTTTAAAATTAACGAAAATGAAAGACTGAAAATCTGGGCCTTTTTGAATGACATGCTCTCGATATCAATATTCAAAATGATAATTTTGGGTCCTCAAAAAACACATTTTTACTTGGATTTTGGTTCTGCAATATAAAAGCATGATGACACAATAATGCTATTAAAAACATATAAGACTATTGAATGAGGAAAACTTATTTTTCCAAGTGGCTGGTAGTTAAAACACACTGTATCACTCATGCTTAGAGAAGTTAGATTCTCATTTCACAAGTCTCTCTTAGTAATACATGCTACCTAATATAAGCAATTTTTAAAAGGAAAATCATAGCAATCTATGAAAATGATGTACATGTGTTTGTGTGTTTGCTAATAAGTGTTTTTGTCTCAATAATTGGGCACTTTGAGTTTCCTTGCTTCAAGTTTGGTGAGAGTAAAAGATTTTATCACCTTGGATCGCCGTTTAAAATTTTAAATACTGAATACTCTAATTTGCATCCACCCAAAAAAAAGAGTCAAATAAAAAAAGTACAATTAAACACTAAGGACTAAGAAGCCCTATGCAAGCATAAGCAATAAATTATAAATTGAATATTAATATCAATGGCATAAGTACTAAATTATATTCTCATATTTTGGAGATAGAAGTACAATAATTGTATATACAAATGAATAAACAATGATTAAAAAAGCTTAACACTTCATTTTCTAGGAACTCCCATTGCTAAAGGACCTATACAATNGGCAAATAAAAAGAGTACAATTAAACACTAAGTACTAAGAAGCCCTATGCAAGCATAAGCGATAAATTATAAATTGAATATTAATATCAACGGCATAAGTACTAAATTATATTCTCATATTTTGGAGATAGAAGTACAATAATTGTATATACAAATGAATAAACAATGATTAAAAAAGCTTAACACTTCATTTTCTAGAAACTCCCATTGCTAAAGGACCTATACAATTACTCCACTACTCTGAATAGAAAGGTAGAACGGTTCATAAACATTAAGCATGATGAATTCCCCAAAGTAATGGCCTCACAATAGTCATTATTAAACCCTCATACCCTTGCTTACCTTATTTATAGCAACAACCTAGACATTTGATAGACAAATCAAATAATATGCAAATACGTGTTATCATAATTTAAATTTAAACTCAAGTAATTCTTGTTGAACACCAAATACAAAATTCCCATCATCCAAATTGGAAAATAATTGAGACTCTTGAGTGATTTCACACCATAAGTTTCTTTAACCTTGACACTACAAATAACATTAATCCATAAGTAAACGTATATGACATTTTCCTCAAAGAAGATCAGTTCTAACGCAATGAAGGCACTCATTTGGACTTATTGTCTAATCAAATATATTACTACCGAGATGGAAGTCAAAAAGAATCCTAAGATTAGAAAAGTTCAGCTGAATCTTCTTAGTACATATTTTATACGTGTAATTGTTATTTATATGTTGTTTATCAGGTATTTTCTTGACTGAAGGAGTACTGAAGAAGTTTGAATTTGTTTTTAACGTTAGTGTGAAGATAAAAATTTAAAGATACAATTGTCTACGACATGACTTTAAAGAAATTCATCAACATTTATATAAATCAAGATCTTGAAATATTTTTTTCCTTTTTTTTACTGTCTATCTACAAAGAATAAAGAGAGGAAGATGGAGAGATAAACTTTATTGTCTTTCCAACAATTCTCCTTTACTGCTCGAAAAGAAAAACCTTGGGTTTCCCGAAAACATTGGGTCGACGTAATGACCATTAATGCTTTATAATGATGATTGTCTCTATGGGTCTCGAGGACATAGAGACTCATTAATAGCCCTGTCACAGTCACTNGCTTGAATTTGCTCTTAACGTTAGTGTGAAGATAAAAATTTAAAGATACAATCGTCTACGACATGACTTTAAAGAAATTCATCAACATTTATATAAATCAAGATCTTGAAATATTTATGTCTTTTTTTAACTGTCTATCTTCAAAGAATAAGGAGAGGAAGATGGAGAGATAAACTTTATTGTCTTTCCAACAATTCTCCCTTACTGCTCGGAAAGAAAAACCTTGGGGTTTCCCGAAAACATTGGGTCGGCGTAATGACCATTAATGCTTTATAATGATGACTGTCTCTATGGGTCTCGAGGACATAGAGACTCATTAATAGCCCTGTCACAGTCACTTAAGTTTTCATTAATGAACAATTATGTCCTATTTAATGCTGGGTTCAATCGGTGTATGCTCAGCTCTTCTGGGTTATTACTCCTCGGCTCCCTCTCCTGACGCCCTTTGAGGTCCACAACAGCTATAACTGTTCACATGTCAATATGGGGCTGTTGAGCCGTCTAAAATCCCGTCATCTTGTATGATATTATCAAATATGAATTTAGTATTGTTAACTTTGAATCATTATTATTATTTTTAATCCTGTCAGACAAGCTTGATATAGATCAATACGAGCATAATTGACAGCATTTGAATCCAATTACACACGACTTTGAATGAATCGTGCACATGTTGACGAGTGAAATAAATATAATACAGCTTCTTGCCATCTGTAATAAAGCACCACTTTTTCTTGGACTATGAACTTATGTGAAATGAAATCAACATATGAAATATTAATCAACTAAGAAATGATAGAACAACAACTTAATTACTAATTATGTAGGACTTAAGGTTCGACCTTTTTTATTTTGTCTTTCTTGGGTCATAGAGAATTTTATAAATTGGAGAAGGATAACACATCACAGCTGTCGATAATACTATTAACTCACCCAAATGTAAATTTGGAACATGGAATGTTAATAGATACGTATTAGATATAATACAAACTCAAAGCAACGCTATTAATTTTTACCAAAAATAATGTGTTAAGTTAGTTTAGTGTCAAAATTAAATAGCTTTATAAGAAAAAATCTCTAATTTTTTTTGTAATTTAGTTCTTCCATGGATTACAACAGTATGTTATTCCGTTTATTTATAAGATTAGTGTTGAATCTTGTACAAAATAACCTCTTTATACATAGGGATAAATTTATAGATAGTGATCTAAGAGAGTAAACATTTTGTAAGATATTCGAACCCAGACTTATAATAAAATGCTTGTGAGGTGGTGGGGTTACCTCTAGCCGTTGCTTGCGGTTAAAATCTCGTATTTGTGTTGCATGAATGAGTTGAAGTAAATAACCCNCAGCTCTTCTGGGTTATTACTCCTCGGCTCCCTCTCCTGACGCCCTTTGAGGTCCACAACAGCTATAACTGTTCACATGTCAATATGGGGCTGTTGAGCCGTCTAAAATCCCGTCATCTTGTATGATATTATCAAATATGAATTTAGTATTGTTAACTTTGAATCATTATTATTAGTTTTAATCTTATCAAACAAGCTTGATATAGATCAATACGAGCATAATTGACAGCATTTGAATCCAATTACANATTTTTAATCCTGTCAGACAAGCTTGATATAGATCAATACGAGCATAATTGACAGCATTTGAATCCAATTACACACGACTTTGAATGAATCGTGCACATGTTGACGAGTGAAATAAATATAATACAGCTTCTTGCCATCTGTAATAAAGCACCACTTTTTCTTGGACTATGAACTTATGTGAAATGAAATCAACATATGAAATATTAATCAACTAAGAAATGATAGAACAACAACTTAATTACTAATTATGTAGGACTTAAGGTTCGACCTTTTTTATTTTGTCTTTCTTGGGTCATAGAGAATTTTATAAATTGGAGAAGGATAACACATCACAGCTGTCGATAATACTATTAACTCACCCAAATGTAAATTTGGAACATGGAATGTTAATAGATACGTATTAGATATAATACAAACTCAAAGCAACGCTATTAATTTTTACCAAAAATAATGTGTTAAGTTAGTTTAGTGTCAAAATTAAATAGCTTTATAAGAAAAAATCTCTAATTTTTTTTGTAATTTAGTTCTTCCATGGATTACAACAGTATGTTATTCCGTTTATTTATAAGATTAGTGTTGAATCTTGTACAAAATAACCTCTTTATACATAGGGATAAATTTATAGACAGCGATCTAATAGAGTAAACATTTTGTAAGATATTCGAACCCAGACTTATAAGAAAATGCTTGTGAGGTGGTGGGGTTACCTCTAGCCGTCGCTTGCGGTTAAAATCTCGTATTTGTGTTGCATGAATGAGTTGAAGTAAATAACCCAAACAAAATGTGGGTAATCTGAAATTTTACTGAAAAGTTTAAGTGAATAACGGAAATAATTTGTGGGTAAATCTGAAATTTACCCAAAATTCAGTTCAACGAACGTAAATTCATAACATGGCGAATTTGGGCGATGTCAACACAGCGCCTGCGGACTGCTCAGAGCCTCCAACCACCTTCTACCTCGTCTTCTCCGCCTACACCTTTCTCTCTCCTCTTATACACAACCCCTTTCTTTCTCTCCCGTCAATACTCGTCTCTCCCCCCCTTTCTCTCTCCAATGGCTTCACTCCAATCTAGAATTCCCACTCTCTCCTTTTCCTCCGCCCTCTCCTCCACTTCCCTGCGACGCCATCCCTCCACCGCATTTCCCTCCGGACCCCGCCGTAGAACCACCCCCAAGATCCAATCGAAAATCCGAGAAATTTTTATGCCAGCACTGAGCTCCACCATGACCGAAGGCAAGATCGTCTCATGGATTAAAACCGAGGGCGATTTGCTCTCCAAAGGTGAGTCCGTGGTTGTTGTGGAGTCAGATAAGGCCGACATGGATGTTGAGACCTTCTACGACGGCATTCTCGCCGCCATCGTCGTCGGTGAAGGCGAGACCGCTCCGGTTGGTGCGCCGATCGGTCTGTTAGCTGAAACTGAGGAGGAAATTGCTGAAGCCAAGGCTAAAGCCGCCAATTCTGCTGTCTCCACTCCTCCACCTGCTACTTCCACTCCGGAAACTACTCCTTCCACTCCACCGCCTGTTACTTCAACTCCTCCATCAGCCAAGGCGGCTCCGGTGGTCACTGATGGGCCGAGGAAGATTGTGGCGACGCCGTTGGCAAAGAAATTGGCGAAGCAGCACAAGGTTGATGTTAATAAGGTGGTGGGGACGGGTCCATTTGGGCGGATTACTCCGGCTGATATTGAAGCTGCTGCTGGAATTTCCCCCTCGAAAAGTAGTGTTTCCACCAACGTTGTTCCGGTTGCTGCCGCAGCTCCGCCTCATGCGGCGGCTGCACCACCAAAACCAGCAGCTGCCACCACTTTCCCTGAAATTCCGGGGTCTACGGTGGTTCCATTTACCACAATGCAATCTGCTGTGTCAAAGAATATGCTCGAAAGTCTGTCTGTTCCCACATTTCGTGTGGGGTATCCAGTGACCACTGACGCACTGGATGCTCTGTATGAGAAGGTACGTTGTGTCGTTGACATGGACTGCAGTTCCTGTTGGTTTGATTTGATATAGGCATTGTGTTAGTTGTGTTAATTTTGCTTTGATTGGTGTTGAGATCGTGGGATTTGAGTAAGATTGTAATATGTGATTGACAGGTTAAGCCAAAGGGTGTTACTATGACTGCATTGTTAGCAAAGGCTGCAGCAGTGGCGCTAGCTCAGCACCCAGTTGTGAACGCAAGTTGTAAAGATGGAAAGAGTTTTACATATAATAGTAGTATAAATATTGCTGTTGCTGTGGCAATCAATGGTGGATTGATAACCCCTGTTCTTCAGGATGCTGATAAGGTATATGATTATGATTTCTTTTCGGAGATCTTGTCATTCATAGTTTAGGCTTGTTTTTAATGTTGTTTTGTTTTAGGTGATTGGTTGTGTGTCGTTTTCAGTTCTTTGGTGGTGAATGTAGTATTGTTTTGTGACTTGTTTGTGGTTGTGTAGTTGGATCTTTATCTGCTATCTCAAAAATGGAAGGAGCTGGTAGAGAAAGCCCGATCGAAGCGACTTCAGCCTCAGGAGTACAATTCAGGTTTTCATCACTTGTTCTTGTTCTTGTGAGTTCTGTTGATGTTCCTGTAGGGCGGAAAGGAAATTGAATTGTACTGGTTGTGCATGTAGGGACTTTCACTCTGTCCAATTTGGGCATGTTTGGAGTGGACAGGTTTGACGCTATTCTTCCTCCAGGCCAGGTTAGTATTGAGGGTCTCACGCAGCCTTTTGTGTCTGAGTTTCTCGTATGTTTACAAAGGTTTAGCTGTTTATTGAAAAATCTCTGGATGATGTGCAGGGGGCTATTTTGGCTGTTGGAGCATCAAAGCCAACTGTTNATGCAGCCTTTTGTGTCTGAGTTTCTCGTATGTTTACAAAGGTTTAGCTGTTTATTGAAAAACCTCTGGATGATGTGCAGGGGGCTATTTTGGCTGTTGGAGCATCAAAGCCAACTGTTGTAGCTGATGCAGATGGATTCTTCAGTGTGAAAAGTAAAATGCTGGTGAGTTTAGTATGTAGTTCACGTTGATTAACAATTTCTGCTGCTGTTGATAAGCTTGTTACTGTTGAAAGATGCCATGATAAGTGTAATGGGCCCTTGCACATAATTATTTCATTACTTGGTATGTCTCTGTGAATACTGACTTTGTAGGAAAATGTTTACTTAGACGTCTGGATAAGTGGTATATATGACCTGTTGCTTTCTAGTATCTTTATGCTTATAGGTCATAATATTCAAGTACTTAAATTATCCCTCTTGGCATTATGAATCTGGTAATTAACAGTATGGTTGCAGAGGTCTGATCTGGTTAAGCGGAAACTCTAGAAACCTAAATTCCTAGAATGGATCATGAGAAATTCACAATGTGGGTTGATAAAAGTGTTTCAAGTGCATCCATAGCCATGCTTCCACTCCCATCCCAATCCTCCTTTCCCCCAGCCCCCTTCCCCCTCCCTCCTCCCTCCTCCCNCTGATGGGCCGAGGAAGATTGTGGCGACGCCGTTGGCAAAGAAATTGGCGAAGCAGCACAAGGTTGATGTTAATAAGGTGGTGGGGACGGGTCCATTTGGGCGGATTACTCCGGCTGATATTGAAGCTGCTGCTGGAATTTCCCCCTCGAAAAGTAGTGTTTCCACCAACGTTGTTCCGGTTGCTGCCGCAGCTCCGCCTCATGCGGCGGCTGCACCACCAAAACCAGCAGCTGCCACCACTTTCCCTGAAATTCCGGGGTCTACGGTGGTTCCATTTACCACAATGCAATCTGCTGTGTCAAAGAATATGCTCGAAAGTCTGTCTGTTCCCACATTTCGTGTGGGGTATCCAGTGACCACTGACGCACTGGATGCTCTGTATGAGAAGGTACGTTGTGTCGTTGACATGGACTGCAGTTCCTGTTGGTTTGATTTGATATAGGCATTGTGTTAGTTGTGTTAATTTTGCTTTGATTGGTGTTGAGATCGTGGGATTTGAGTAAGATTGTAATATGTGATTGACAGGTTAAGCCAAAGGGTGTTACTATGACTGCATTGTTAGCAAAGGCTGTAGCAGTGGCGCTAGCTCAGCACCCAGTTGTGAACGCAAGTTGTAAAGATGGAAAGAGTTTTACATATAATAGTAGTATAAATATTGCTGTTGCTGTGGCAATCAATGGTGGATTGATAACCCCTGTTCTTCAGGATGCTGATAAGGTATATGATTCTGATTTCTTTTCGGAGATCTTGTCATTCATAGTTTAGGCTTGTTTTTAATGTTGTTTTGTTTTAGGTGATTGGTTGTGTGTCGTTTTCAGTTCTTTGGTGGTGAATGTAGTATTGTTTTGTGACTTGTTTGTGGTTGTGTAGTTGGATCTTTATCTGCTATCTCAAAAATGGAAGGAGCTGGTAGAGAAAGCCCGATCGAAGCAACTTCAGCCTCAGGAGTACAATTCAGGTTTTCATCACTTGTTCTTGTTCTTGTGAGTTCTGTTGATGTTCCTGTAGGGCGGAAAGGAAATTGAATTGTACTGGTTGTGCATGTAGGGACTTTCACTCTGTCCAATTTGGGCATGTTTGGAGTGGACAGGTTTGACGCTATTCTTCCTCCAGGCCAGGTTAGTATTGAGGGTCTCATGCAGCCTTTTGTGTCTGAGTTTCTCGTATGTTTACAAAGGTTTAGCTGTTTATTGAAAAACCTCTGGATGATGTGCAGGGGGCTATTTTGGCTGTTGGAGCATCAAAGCCAACTGTTGTAGCTGATGCAGATGGATTCTTCAGTGTGAAAAGTAAAATGCTGGTGAGTTTAGTATGTAGTTCACGTTGATTAACAATTTCTGCTGCTGTTGATAAGCTTGTTACTGTTGAAAGATGCCATGATAAGTGTAATGGGCCCTTGCACATAATTATTTCATTACTTGGTATGTCTCTGTGAATACTGACTTTGTAGGAAAATGTTTACTTAGACGTCTGGATAAGTGGTATATATGACCTGTTGCTTTCTAGTATCTTTATGCTTATAGGTCATAATATTCAAGTACTTAAATTATCCCTCTTGGCATTATGAATCTGGTAATTAACAGTATGGTTGCAGAGGTCTGATCTGGTTAAGCGGAAACTCTAGAAACCTAAATTCCTAGAATGGATCATGAGAAATTGACAATGTGGGTTGATAAAAGTGTTTCAAGTGCATCCATAGCCATGCTTCCACTCCCATCCCAATCCTCCTTTCCCCCAGCCCCCTTCCCCCTCCCTCCTCCCTCCTCCCTCCTCCCCTACATACTTACAGGCAAAGTGTTCAATTTAATATTAGGGAATATGATTTATCAGGATGTTGATTCCTTGGTCGTCCTCCAATATCATTGTTTGATTTCTTGGAAAGTGTAAAGACAGCCTCAGTTGACTCTGCACAAGCATCATAACTTCTGCAAAATTTTAACAATTTCTATGAAAGACACTGGACTGAATTGGTTCATGGTTATTTTCCAGGTGAATGTTACAGCTGATCACCGAATTATCTATGGAGCTGACTTGGCTGCTTTCCTTCAGACCTTTTCAAAGATTGTTGAAAACCCCGAGAGCCTGACACTGTAGACGAAGATTTAGGTCAATCAACAAGAGATGTAATATGTCTCTATCAAACAGAGTGTGGTAAAGGAAGATTGCAGCAGTAGCGTTTTTAGTTTCTGGTGTTGTGCTGCAGCGTTGTTCTGATACTATGCGGCAGTTTTTGAAACAGGCCAATAAAGACTTGCTGAAAAGTGTATACAATTTGGTGAGGATTTGTTTGGAAGAGTGGAACTTATATTTGGATTTCACTTTTGTTTTCTACCTTTTTCTCTTTCTTTTTCTTACCAAACCTGAATGTATTGGACTTGGCTTTGAGTATGATCCATGATCTTGTTATAGCGTTGCAATTCTCCATTGAATTAGTTTTGGATTATGAAATTCAATTGTGTTTTAACCTAATTGGTTTATCCACTCCAAGATGCATGTATCAGACCGATACCTTGGGTAAGTATCGTGTTGAGGTTTACTGTTTCTTTGGGCTCATATTGAGCTTTACTATATTCTCCAATTCTTCTGATCAATGAACTAACCTTTCAAGGAGCAACAAAAAAAGGAAAAAAAAACATGCAGATGTGGATAGGGCACTGCCTGCATATTCTTCATACTGTTCAGATGTTTGATCTCTTGAAGAAACATAAAAACATGAGGCTGTCGAATGTATATTTTGACATTTGTGATTTCTTTCAATATATTCACCGGTTAGGCAGGAATTTTATGTTTGGCAATTTTGTAATGTTTTAAGAGTCTTGTTTCATACGATCATTGCAGAGTAGTTGCAACTACTAAGGTGATGATCTGGTGCACACTATCTACATTTGCCATTTTCTCAACAAGAATCAACCTCTCTCCCCTCCCCCCTCCTTCCAAAAAAAAAAACCCCAACACAGCGAGTAAATATTGGGTGTAACGGTGACATCACATGACAATAATGATGTGGTGTTTTCGTTACACCAAATATTTTTTCCTACACGACAGAATTAAATTTCTCAACTCATATATTGTACTAGAAATTAGACATAAGGGCATCTCATCCTCACAAGCATCTTTAAATCATATTTGATAGATTCTTTTTGGAACTCGATACACCTTATTCCAATTGGATAAGATTATAGTACTAAAAAAAAGAAACTTTTCAATATCATATAAAAAAATGATTTATGACCATGAATATACGGATAGCCATCGACCATAAAAATAAAACAAGAAAAATAAAAAAATAAAATAAGATTACTTTATATGTGTCACATTCTTATTGCTTGAAAAAAAGGGAGATATAATATTGAAAAATAATTTTTTGGTACCATAGGTAGCCCATCCCAATGTATCCATCTTATACCAACAGGAAGAAATTAATGTCAATTTTCGGCAACTTTTCTGCAGAGGCTGCTCCAAGGTAAAGCCTGAAGACCAGGTGCATACAGTTAAGCCTGAAGACCAAACAGCAGTAGTTAAAGGCAGGCACAGGAAGGCAAAGCTAAGACTAGAGAGTGGTTATAATAGAATGCTGATGATAAAATTAATGCTACTGGTTACATAATACATCTGAATGTCAGTCTAAAGAAATTCTCTCTTAAATAGATCAACAGAAATCTATTGCCCAGAACAGTGCTTTGTCGGGTATAACTTTTATATGTACATTCACCCAAAGCTAAATAACTGTACGTCTTATCGTTATCACCTAAAACTGGGGCTATATCCATCTGAGAATTTGCCTCTAAACAATATATATGTTGATGATGCTCGGCAAAAAATATGGAGATGAACCCAAGTTCACCATACTGGAACGGATACGATGGGAATGAAGCAAAAGACAATGTCTTAGATGTATCAAAGATGCTTCGTGGGAGCAATGCAGATTCTCTTGTTCTCCCAATATTCTTGGAGCTTAAAAATTCAGAATGGGTGTTGCTGCTGTGCTGTCCAAAAAATAGGTCTGTCTGTTGCAGAACCGCTCCAAGGAAATATGTATTCACCAATCCAAGCTGACATTCCTTGAGATGTACAGCTTATCGATATATTCTATAATTGGAAGCGAGGCATTAATATACCTTCTCATTTCCTTCTCTGCTGACTCATCTGTGACAATGTTGATGATGTTAGCTGAAGTGACATCAGTATAATTCTCTCAGAAAAAAATGACATCAATAGAATTCTTGGTTTTCCAGTAGAATAAACAAAAGGGGAAAAAGTAAATCCATACATAGGTAAGTTCAAAGTTTTAGTTATTTTTTGCAACTGTTGCACGATGGACTATGCCTAAAGATATCCAAACTAACCAGTTTGACTTTGAGCTTTGGAACAAAACACCAGTCAGTGAGGTTGATGTTGGTGCAAATAGCAACCAACAGAAACAAATCATCACTCCCTTACATGAGCTAACAACCAATTACCTCATGGCAACCGATTCTAGCATATTTCATACAGAAAATTCTCTGAATAGCATCTATATTCTACTCCTAAACCTTGCTTTGATTTGCGTTTCAAGTATTCTAAAGTTTTAGAAGGCAAAGAGCAATACAAAAACACGGTCAGCAAATACATTTGTCATCTGTGACACAACGAACATGTATGATTTAGGGACACCAGAAAACTTTGGGCAATTCACTAAAATACCTATGTATTAAAAAAAAATGACGAAAGTGATATGTGTCGAACATATGTGTTGCTCAAACAAGATTTTTTGAAAAATTAGTCAAGCATAAGCATTTTGGATGTGCCATGGCCTTACCATATTGTGTTAAAAAAGCAAACCCTTATTAGTCTAATCAATTCTTTTGGATACAGATTATCTATGATCTATTTACGGCCCTCTTCCCTGCCCACATATGGGTTCTAGCCCATCTGCAAACCTCCTATGCTTTTACTCAAATTAACTAGTATTCACTCATTGGTTCAGTCAAAGTTCTGTTGTTTAGTCAAATTTTATCACGTTGACTTCACGGAGTCCTATTGTACCAGATTGCTACTTATTACTCTCAACATTGTAGCTTTACTATCTCCGTCCTTAGGTTTGCAGCATCAGTACAAAGCCTTATGTGAAGTTTCAGTTCAAAACCGTAGTATCAGAGTCTGAATCAATACTTGCTGAGAAGATATAAAAGTTTTCCGTGCTAAAAGAAATCCATACTGTTCCACCTACAACTCACCAGTTTCATTTAGCTTCAGTAGAAGTTGTTCCCTTGTTGGAAGAGCACACATTCCAGCATAAACAGCTGTCCTGATTGCCCATGTGTGGTATGGTGCGCATACCTTTGTATAAGCTGTTGATGCTGCTTCCTTCAACGAGTATTCACTGAAAGACACATAGTGGATCATTAGAAGTTATTTCCAATTGAAATCAAAAACCACAACTTCCAAATAACTGATAAACGCGAGAGGATCAATCACAGAACTGACATCCTAGGAAAATAAAAAGCCTTGAATTAAAGTTTCTCATCCACATTTCACCCTACCATGCTACAATGTATCCGTTGCTGTCACATGTTATGTTAAAAGCAGTCGATGTAGTAAGAGAAACGTAACTGGCAACTAGACCGTTCATTTTGTTTTAACACAAACTCAGATGTTTACTTAATTTAAGGTGCCAATAATCTTTTGAATCTGTGCCATTAATTTTGGGACTTGAAGATATTTGATTCCTAGAATGACCACACCACAAATAGACTCCAGAATGCTCAGTTACTCAAATTGACACTAATAATTTCTGAAGTGGATCTCATAATAGTATCCTAGAAAGAAGAACAAATTGGACTGACATGCACGCACTCACCCACGTGCACAAATACACACAATCTCCATATGAAAGTCAACTTCATCATTGGATAGGAACTGCACAATCATGTAAACACCCCGTAGATAAATCCACCCAACACCCCACACCCCCCAAAAAAAGAGATAAAAAGAAAAAAGGAAAGTAAATAACATGTATTTTCATGGCCGGGGATGGACTTGATTGCTCAACCGTGCTCCTACCGCTCAACACTCCCATTCGTGCTTACCCACTCCAAGTTCATTTTCCTTGTTGAACACCAAATTCAACCAGTGGGAATGTATAAAACATGGCAGCATCATTTATTAAAAGAAGCAAGGATATAAAAAGAAAACACCAATTTCAAGAAAACTAAAGCAACCAGCCGAGCATAAAGACACACAAGGGCACTGAAGCCAGTCTCAAGTAAAGAGTGAGAAAACTTATTATCATCCTCTCTACATGATAGAAAAACTCCAGATTTTTTCTTTTTCATATAAACTTTTGGAGAATCTAAACATCTAAATAGCTGTCTGTAATAGATGCGTGAGGATAGTGCCAAATAGTGTTCATACGTAAACAGAAAAAGTAATCATGGGATAACATTGTAAACGTGCTTAATAAACTTTAAGGGCTTTTTAAGAAATTCCTGCAAATTGTCACACTGTCATACATGAAAAGCAAATAAAACAGCAAGGGATACTTCTGCAACAGATCACTCAATATTTAAAAAATTGTTTTCTTCAAACTAAATTATGAAGCAATAAGCTGTAACCAAATGCACATTTCGTGTAATCTGTCCAATTGACATCTCATTCAGAATTTTAGGTGTACCAGCCCAGTAATATTTATTTTATGTAGAAGAAGATCCTTGTGAGAGCACCGAAACATACTTTGATGACAGAAAATTCTGAAATAGAGCTCTAATGAGATCAAGACCCTGCCTAACTCTGCGCAGATTACGTGAAAGGCTTCCTGGTTTTCTCACAGTGTCATTTTTGACATCAAAATCAAGTATGCTATCTAAAGAGCCATATCTCTTTGATGCTTCTGTAAGATTACGCACCTGAAAGAATCAATTTCAGCATTAAATTTAGCAAGGTTTCTTAAACAGAAAACAAACAGGGAGAAATAACAATTATGAGACATAGTACATGAGAAACACCTCTAGGTAAAGATTATATATGCAATAGATACGTGATGTATTAGTACGGGTACATGAACCATTAACACCTCCCTCCTGCTGACCCGACCCACATCAAAAGTAAAAAAGGGCTCCAGTGAAGGCGTTTGCGAACAAGTAGAATGGGAAAAAGCAGAAATGAAGGCCATTACCATGTGTTACTCCCCTAAAATGGGATACTAGAAAAGGTTGATTGGGCAACAACTTAATCTTTGGCCTAACTTGCACGAAGTGGCTACATAGATATCAGAACAGTATTCTCATGCTTGGCAGCAAGACTTCTCAATGCTGTACCAAGCTAAGGGAGGCAGGCCCCAATGAATGACACTTGTAATAAATGTTCCTAATAAAAAAATTAAAATATAAAAACCACATAATGCATGAAATGGAAAATGGAGAATGACCAATTTTTGAGAACAAAAACTCCTGCACCCTGTAATGAGCGATACCAAAAGATGAAAAAACAACTTGAAGAAACAGCAATCTTTTGACTTCATTCATAAAACTTTATAAATTTTCAATCTGGAGAAGTCACATATTACTCGCGTTATCTTATCCCTCCTCATCCAAAAATCGGCAGGGAAAAGTTATTAATGAATAACAATTCAACGTCAGACACAGTCCCCACTGCAAATACAGAACCAACATTGACCTTATGACCTTAATTACTTAGTCTTGAACCTCAGATTTACGACATTAATGTTATGCACTCCAAGAGTATTTCCGTATATGCACAAGATGAATTTATTTCTCCTTGATAAATTTGCTGATGTGTGTCATACAGGAAATTAACATCGAAGACAAATTAATATTTCAGGAGATTTGCAGCAAAGCTGCATTTGGAAGAANGTATTTCCGTATATGCACAAGATGAATTTATTTCTCCTTGATAAATTTGCTGATGTGTGTCATACGGGAAATTAGCATCGAAGACAAATTAATATTTCAGGAGATTTGCAGCAAAGCTGCATTTGGAAGAATCACAGCAGGATAGCACTATAGATGACCACTTCCAAATCATTTACATCCACAATTAAATGTTATGGTCAACTTAAAATATAGTTTTCTCTGCATTAATCTTTAGTATCATCTATAGTGATTTGAATATCTTAAATGGCATCAGCATAAGATTAGGGTCACAGCCCATAACTCAGAACCACCTTTCAAAGCATTGTTTCCAGAATGATGTGCAGAATTTATCTAACCCATAAAATTGAGCTACAAAGATCTGTAGCCTAATGTTTGCATGGTGAAGTGGAAAGCTGATATATCTTTTGTGATAGGCAACAAAGCTATGCATTGCATTAATATACTAAGATTGACTCTCCTCTCAAATTGTGGGATAGGGTATTTTCAACTTTCAAGGCAATGGTATTTGGTCAAACAAAAACATATCAATATGGTAGCCATTAACCAAATACTTAAAAGGATAGGAAAGAAGAGTTTACAAAATGACAAGAATTACCGTTCAGCTCCTCTACAATAAGAAAAACTGTCCTGCTACCTTTCCTTTGCAGATGGGATTTCAAACTTAATTCTTTCGTGTAGCTTCTATCTGAGAACCAAGGACTTCCAAAGGTTCATGAACTCTTTAAGAACTAATAGAGCAACATCACCTATCTCCTTTATCTACTTGGTAAGAGAAACTAAAAGCTAGTCCACGGCTCCTAGAAGCAGCTCTTGAATTTCCCAATAGTTACAGTCCATAGTGAATTCACGCAATTCAGTTTGAAATTCTTTGAGATCGAAACGTCAGAGTGACTGTGCATCTTAATTTTACAAAAAAATTGGCACCTTGCGTTCTTGAGGGATAAAACTTCGAAAAATGTCCACCAAATTTATCCATGGTTCATCAGTCTGATGATGAATGTTGTATGTGACTACTTGAACGAGTGTCTAAACTCTAAAGCCCCAACAGTTCTATTTCTGTCTCCGCTTATTTGTACTCTTCTCTCTTCTTTCCCAACATACCAGTGATTCTTGATGGGCAGCTTTTTTTCTGCTGTATTTCGGGACAAATTTTAAGCTACCAGCCAGAAGTGTGGAGATGAGTCCCCTTGGCCTTTGGTTTTGGTAGATGAGTGCCTACAAATCCAAGGTTGCCTCAAATTGAAATACTCTGCATCAATGTATATCATTGAAATCCTTCCTCATATCTGCTTTTATTCTTCCATTAACTTCTAAATCATCAAAATTACTTATTGGTACAAAGCTTCATCTTCTTTATGCTGTCTTTTCAAACTGTTTGCAGAAGTTTCAACTTCAAGAATCGGTTCAACCAATGCAATGCCACATGTTGTTTGTCAAAATACATACCGATGAACTTGTTGAACTATGCCCACATTAGAATTGCCTAAGCCATAAATAGCGGTGAATTAACTTTTAACAATTGCAGATGGAATTTTTATATACCTGAAGGCACATTCTTCCTTCGATGACTTCAAGTTTAACCTACTCTGTTGCCATAAGCTTTTAATTACTTGATATGAATCTAATGCTAGATTGATAATTTGGTTTCAGAACTACAACATCTCCAAGTGATTGACTAATGGAGCTATCAATGCTTAACCACCGGTAAAACTTTAAAATACATGTCGCTTCCCGAAGATATAAATTCTTTCATTGACTTCCAAATGTCTTAAGTCTGTAATACTTACAATGCTTCAAAATTAAATTTTTGTGAACCAAAGTAGTATCTTACAACCATAAAAAATATCTTCATTTTAGCATAGTAGGTCAGATGTTTAGCCAAAACCAGCCCCCACATAGTTCTTTTGTTTGGGTTAATTATGAAATGGCTTAATTCATCCAAACCTTTGATTTTAAACTTGGTTTTAGAGTTGGTTTTGTCCTATTGCTTGGGGATGAGATGGATTTTCTCCTAGATTGCAGAGTGCTACTTACACCTGCATGCTCTCTGATGGGTCAACTCTAGCACTAGTATGATGTTTGGCCCCTCATCAAATATAGAAACATGTGATCACCCACTTTGGATTTTAAACTTGGTTTGTACCCTTCGCCATAATTTACATAGAGTTACTGCTCTCATATTTGAATTTTTATCATCACTTCCACAAGTCCAAATTTGACCATATGTTTTACAGACAAAAACTTCTGCGTAACCCATAAAATATAACATATGACCCTTTGTTTTGAAATAACAGAATATGAACACAGACAATTTTCAACGAATATCTAGCTAGATGTTCTGTTTACATAGCAACTGCCCCACAAATTTTCACGATTGCTTTATCATCTTAATCTACCTCATATGATGAGTCAATTAAACTCTGTTATAAATGTTTGGAGCAATATTTGTCAATCCACCAAGAAAACAAACCTCCCTTAATAACCTAACACGCACACAGGACACCACACAAACAGGTGTTGGGCATAAGTATTTATTTGGAGCAATATTTGTAAAAACACAAAGAAAACAAACCTCCATTAATAATCTAACAAGGAGCACATACAAAAGTACTGAACATAATTATACACATCTATGTTTACAAATTTGAAGGAAATTCTGTTTACCTTAGAGACGTACTCCATCTCGGCGAACTTAAATGCAATTCCGAGGCAACCGAAGAGGATGGAGACAAGAGAGCAAGCATCACAAAAGGGCTTCAAACGAAGCTCGTCACAAGAACCACTAGACTTCATAAAACCCGAGAGATCCTCAAACGCCTCCGCAATGGCCGATAGAGGCGTTCCTGTGGCCGCATCTTCAAAAGCGTCATCTTCCTTCATCATTCCGATGAATGGTAATTTTCTCTGTCCTTCACAATCAACAANAATCACAGCAGGATAGCACTATAGATGACCACTTCCAAATCATTTACATCCACAATTAAATGTTATGGTCAACTTAAAATATAGTTTTCTCTGCATTAATCTTTAGTATCATCTATAGTGATTTGAATATCTTAAATGGCATCAGCATAAGATTAGGGTCACAGCCCATAACTCAGAACCACCTTTCAAAGCATTGTTTCCAGAATGATGTGCAGAATTTATCTAACCCATAAAATTGAGCTACAAAGATCTGTAGCCTAATGTTTGCATGGTGAAGTGGAAAGCTGATATATCTTTTGTGATAGGCAACAAAGCTATGCATTGCATTAATATACTAAGATTGACTCTCCTCTCAAATTGTGGGATAGGGTATTTTCAACTTTCAAGGCAATGGTATTTGGTCAAACAAAAACATATCAATATGGTAGCCATTAACCAAATACTTAAAAGGATAGGAAAGAAGATTTTACAAAATGACAAGAATTACCGTTCAGCTCCTCTACAATAAGAAAAACTGTCCTGCTACCTTTCCTTTGCAGATGGGATTTCAAACTTAATTCTTTCGTGTAGCTTCTATCTGAGAACCAAGGACTTCCAAAGGTTCATGAACTCTTTAAGAACTAATAGAGCAACATCACCTATCTCCTTTATCTACTTGGTAAGAGAAACTAAAAGCTAGTCCACGGCTCCTAGAAGCAGCTCTTGAATTTCCCAATAGTTACAGTCCATAGTGAATTCACGCAATTCAGTTTGAAATTCTTTGAGATCGAAACGTCAGAGTGACTGTGCATCTTAATTTTACAAAAAAATTGGCACCTTGCGTTCTTGAGGGATAAAACTTCGAAAAATGTCCACCAAATTTATCCATGGTTCATCAGTCTGATGATGAATGTTGTATGTGACTACTTGAACGAGTGTCTAAACTCTAAAGCCCCAACAGTTCTATTTCTGTCTCCGCTTATTTGTACTCTTCTCTCTTCTTTCCCAACATACCAGTGATTCTTGATGGGCAGCTTTTTTTCTGCTGTATTTCGGGACAAATTTTAAGCTACCAGCCAGAAGTGTGGAGATGAGTCCCCTTGGCCTTTGGTTTTGGTAGATGAGTGCCTACAAATCCAAGGTTGCCTCAAATTGAAATACTCTGCATCAATGTATATCATTGAAATCCTTCCTCATATCTGCTTTTATTCTTCCATTAACTTCTAAATCATCAAAATTACTTATTGGTACAAAGCTTCATCTTCTTTATGCTGTCTTTTCAAACTGTTTGCAGAAGTTTCAACTTCAAGAATCGGTTCAACCAATGCAATGCCACATGTTGTTTGTCAAAATACATACCGATGAACTTGTTGAACTATGCCCACATTAGAATTGCCTAAGCCATAAATAGCGGTGAATTAACTTTTAACAATTGCAGATGGAATTTTTATATACCTGAAGGCACATTCTTCCTTCGATGACTTCAAGTTTAACCTACTCTGTTGCCATAAGCTTTTAATTACTTGATATGAATCTAATGCTAGATTGATAATTTGGTTTCAGAACTACAACATCTCCAAGTGATTGACTAATGGAGCTATCAATGCTTAACCACCGGTAAAACTTTAAAATACATGTCGCTTCCCGAAGATATAAATTCTTTCATTGACTTCCAAATGTCTTAAGTCTGTAATACTTACAATGCTTCAAAATTAAATTTTTGTGAACCAAAGTAGTATCTTACAACCATAAAAAATATCTTCATTTTAGCATAGTAGGTCAGATGTTTAGCCAAAACCAGCCCCCACATAGTTCTTTTGTTTGGGTTAATTATGAAATGGCTTAATTCATCCAAACCTTTGATTTTAAACTTGGTTTTAGAGTTGGTTTTGTCCTATTGCTTGGGGATGAGATGGATTTTCTCCTAGATTGCAGAGTGCTACTTACACCTGCATGCTCTCTGATGGGTCAACTCTAGCACTAGTATGATGTTTGGCCCCTCATCAAATATAGAAACATGTGATCACCCACTTTGGATTTTAAACTTGGTTTGTACCCTTCGCCATAATTTACATAGAGTTACTGCTCTCATATTTGAATTTTTATCATCACTTCCACAAGTCCAAATTTGACCATATGTTTTACAGACAAAAACTTCTGCGTAACCCATAAAATATAACATATGACCCTTTGTTTTGAAATAACAGAATATGAACACAGACAATTTTCAACGAATATCTAGCTAGATGTTCTGTTTACATAGCAACTGCCCCACAAATTTTCACGATTGCTTTATCATCTTAATCTACCTCATATGATGAGTCAATTAAACTCTGTTATAAATGTTTGGAGCAATATTTGTCAATCCACCAAGAAAACAAACCTCCCTTAATAACCTAACACGCACACAGGACACCACACAAACAGGTGTTGGGCATAAGTATTTATTTGGAGCAATATTTGTAAAAACACAAAGAAAACAAACCTCCATTAATAATCTAACAAGGAGCACATACAAAAGTACTGAACATAATTATACACATCTATGTTTACAAATTTGAAGGAAATTCTGTTTACCTTAGAGACGTACTCCATCTCGGCGAACTTAAATGCAATTCCGAGGCAACCGAAGAGGATGGAGACAAGAGAGCAAGCATCACAAAAGGGCTTCAAACGAAGCTCGTCACAAGAACCACTAGACTTCATAAAACCCGAGAGATCCTCAAACGCCTCCGCAATGGCCGATAGAGGCGTTCCTGTGGCCGCATCTTCAAAAGCGTCATCTTCCTTCATCATTCCGATGAATGGTAATTTTCTCTGTCCTTCACAATCAACATGTTTTCATTTGCATATAATTACTAGTTTGAATTAAGACCCAAAAGCCAAAAAATAAAAAAAAATTAAGAATTTGGATACTAAATGCTTGATTTGGAATAAATGGTAATGCAAACTCACTTTGCTCTGTATTCTATTTCTCTTCTTCTGCTGAAAGATGAATCAATGGAAGACCACGGATTGCGGGTCTGCTCAGATTGCGCTCTGCCTTCAAACTCTTGCTCTGATAAGGTGTATATAGTACCTCGAAAATGTAGAGCACTGAGAGGGAGAAAGGGGGAGAGAGAGAGAGAGAGAGAGAGAGAGAGAGGCCGGGAAGGTTCGCTTCTTGTACATGTATGTTTACCATTTCTAAGGTTGGCGCCATAACGTCAATGAATGTGAACCCTTTTCGTTTGCGTGTGCTGTTCGCTAACGACCATGACCATTTATATCGAACGCGTCAACGAGTCAAAATGCTTTTTGGGCTGGGCCGGATGTTGTGGGCCCATTTCAATTGCCCCATCAAAGGCTGTTGGCTGGGTATTTTGTGGTGGGCTGATCCAAGCCCAACAGATTGACTATTTAAAGCCCAAATAGCCCGGCCCGTGACAAAAGTCACCTCAAAAATGCCATAACGTAAAGCAAGTAGACGCGAAGACAAATAATTCAATCCACAAAGTTCTCATATTGGGCGTCGAAATTAGGCCTCTCATCACCTATTCTCGAATTTTTTTATTAATTTGTATTATATCGATTTAAGTCGTGTATGAATGGTATATGATTAATATATAAACGAGTCGTGTTATATTTTTTCAGATTCATTTCANGGTTTAAGTTGTGTATGAATGGTATATAATTAATATATAAACGAGTCGTGTTATATTTTTTCAGATTCATTTCACCCATATCCGATTCATTTATTAATTGTGTCTTATCTGATCCACTTATTTATTAAACAAGTGGCTTAAGTANTAGATGAGTGCCTACAAATCCAAGGTTGCCTCAAATTGAAATACTCTGCATCAATGTATATCATTGAAATCCTTCCTCATATCTGCTTTTATTCTTCCATTAACTTCTAAATCATCAAAATTACTTATTGGTACAAANCGATTTAAGTCGTGTATGAATGGTATATGATTAATATATAAACGAGTCGTGTTATATTTTTTCAGATTCATTTCACCCATATCCGATTTATTTATTAATTGTGTCTTATCTGATCCACTTATTTATTAAACAAGTGGCTTAAGTAAGACCAAACTTTCTAATTTCATATTGTGTTCGTGTCGTATTAATTGATTCATATTTTGACACCTCTGATCGTCATAATGAAAAACACTTTTTGGGTATCACATCTTTACTTTTTNTCAAGAATCGGTTCAACCAATGCAATGCCACATGTTGTTTGTCAAAATACATACCGATGAACTTGTTGAACTATGCCCACATTAGAATTGCCTAAGCCATAAATAGCGGTGAATTAACTTTTAACAATTGCAGATGGAATTTTTATATACCTGAAGGCACATTCTTCCTTCGATGACTTCAAGTTTAACCTACTCTGTTGCCATAAGCTTTTAATTACTTGATATGAATCTAATGCTAGATTGATAATTTGGTTTCAGAACTACAACATCTCCAAGTGATTGACTAATGGAGCTATCAATGCTTAACCACCGGTAAAACTTTAAAATACATGTCGCTTCCCGAAGATATAAATTCTTTCATTGACTTCCAAATGTCTTAAGTCTGTAATACTTACAATGCTTCAAAATTAAATTTTTGTGAACCAAAGTAGTATCTTACAACCATAAAAAATATCTTCATTTTAGCATAGTAGGTCAGATGTTTAGCCAAAACCAGCCCCCACATAGTTCTTTTGTTTGGGTTAATTATGAAATGGCTTAATTCATCCAAACCTTTGATTTTAAACTTGGTTTTAGAGTTGGTTTTGTCCTATTGCTTGGGGATGAGATGGATTTTCTCCTAGATTGCAGAGTGCTACTTACACCTGCATGCTCTCTGATGGGTCAACTCTAGCACTAGTATGATGTTTGGCCCCTCATCAAATATAGAAACATGTGATCACCCACTTTGGATTTTAAACTTGGTTTGTACCCTTCGCCATAATTTACATAGAGTTACTGCTCTCATATTTGAATTTTTATCATCACTTCCACAAGTCCAAATTTGACCATATGTTTTACAGACAAAAACTTCTGCGTAACCCATAAAATATAACATATGACCCTTTGTTTTGAAATAACAGAATATGAACACAGACAATTTTCAACGAATATCTAGCTAGATGTTCTGTTTACATAGCAACTGCCCCACAAATTTTCACGATTGCTTTATCATCTTAATCTACCTCATATGATGAGTCAATTAAACTCTGTTATAAATGTTTGGAGCAATATTTGTCAATCCACCAAGAAAACAAACCTCCCTTAATAACCTAACACGCACACAGGACACCACACAAACAGGTGTTGGGCATAAGTATTTATTTGGAGCAATATTTGTAAAAACACAAAGAAAACAAACCTCCATTAATAATCTAACAAGGAGCACATACAAAAGTACTGAACATAATTATACACATCTATGTTTACAAATTTGAAGGAAATTCTGTTTACCTTAGAGACGTACTCCATCTCGGCGAACTTAAATGCAATTCCGAGGCAACCGAAGAGGATGGAGACAAGAGAGCAAGCATCACAAAAGGGCTTCAAACGAAGCTCGTCACAAGAACCACTAGACTTCATAAAACCCGAGAGATCCTCAAACGCCTCCGCAATGGCCGATAGAGGCGTTCCTGTGGCCGCATCTTCAAAAGCGTCATCTTCCTTCATCATTCCGATGAATGGTAATTTTCTCTGTCCTTCACAATCAACATGTTTTCATTTGCATATAATTACTAGTTTGAATTAAGACCCAAAAGCCAAAAAATAAAAAAAAATTAAGAATTTGGATACTAAATGCTTGATTTGGAATAAATGGTAATGCAAACTCACTTTGCTCTGTATTCTATTTCTCTTCTTCTGCTCAAAGATGAATCAATGGAAGACCACGGATTGCGGGTCTGCTCAGATTGCGCTCTGCCTTCAAACTCTTGCTCTGATAAGGTGTATATAGTACCTCGAAAATGTAGAGCACTGAGAGGGAGAAAGGGGGAGAGAGAGAGAGAGAGAGAGAGAGAGAGAGGCCGGGAAGGTTCGCTTCTTGTACATGTATGTTTACCATTTCTAAGGTTGGCGCCATAACGTCAATGAATGTGAACCCTTTTCGTTTGCGTGTGCTGTTCGCTAACGACCATGACCATTTATATCGAACGCGTCAACGAGTCAAAATGCTTTTTGGGCTGGGCCGGATGTTGTGGGCCCATTTCAATTGCCCCATCAAAGGCTGTTGGCTGGGTATTTTGTGGTGGGCTGATCCAAGCCCAACAGATTGACTATTTAAAGCCCAAATAGCCCGGCCCGTGACAAAAGTCACCTCAAAAATGCCATAACGTAAAGCAAGTAGACGCGAAGACAAATAATTCAATCCACAAAGTTCTCATATTGGGCGTCGAAATTAGGCCTCTCATCACCTATTCTCGAATTTTTTTATTAATTTGTATTATATCGATTTAAGTCGTGTATGAATGGTATATGATTAATATATAAACGAGTCGTGTTATATTTTTTCAGATTCATTTCACCCATATCCGATTTATTTATTAATTGTGTCTTATCTGATCCACTTATTTATTAAACAAGTGGCTTAAGTAAGACCAAACTTTCTAATTTCATATTGTGTTCGTGTCGTATTAATTGATTCATATTTTGACACCTCTGATCGTCATAATGAAAAACACTTTTTGGGTATCACATCTTTACTTTTTGATTAATAAAAATGTGTCACCTATATAATTTTCTTATTTTAAATTTTTTTTTTCAATTAATAACAACCAATTCAANTTTGATCGTAATAATGAAAAACACTTTTTGGGTATCATATCTTTACTTTTTGATTAATAAAAATGTGTCACCTATATAATTTTCTTATTTTAAANTCTGATCGTCATAATGAAAAACACTTTTTGGGTATCACATCTTTACTTTTTGATTAATAAAAATGTGTCACCTATATAATTTTCTTATTTTAAATTTTTTTTTTCAATTAATAACAACCAATTCAAAATCGATGGCCGATTAAGGCAATCACCTAAGGTTCCCACTTTAGAAAAGACCCTCAATTTCTATCATCTTTGTCTCAGTAGTCTTAGTCTTAGGCTTCCGTCCACTTAACATTCAACTTAGTAGATGTGAGTGGTGGAATTGAACCTCCTTTGAAATGAGCCTAGTTCTGAAAGAATTTGGTTACATTGAGAATGTTTTTATAATGAATTTGTGCTTAAATTAAGCTATCATTTGCTGAAATTGATTTATATACAAACTATTATATAGTGATTAGGTGATGAAATTGATCTGGAATTGTTCATTTTGAAATTAAAAAGGCCTTTCTTAGGCTTATCGCCTTGTGCAACAACTTCCATCGAGAGATAAATTACAAACAACTTTGTTCGATAAGAAATTAATCAAAAGAAGACAACATCCATCCTCGCAACGTTCCGACATTTGGACTGTAAAATTATACATTGATGTATAAATAGGCACCTCCATTCTATCATTATATAATATACTAAAAGTANATAGCAACTGCCCCACAAATTTTCACGATTGCTTTATCATCTTAATCTACCTCATATGATGANGTATAAATAGGCACCTCCATTCTATCATTATATAATATACTAAAAGTACTTCTCCTTGGTCACTAAAAGCTTAAACTACTTTAAATAAAGCTAATTTAAGGAAAAGGAAGACTAAATCCTTTATACCTAAAACACCATAAAAGTGTATCTAAACATGGCCTGAAAGTTCAACCCCATCTTCTTTTTCACTGCCATCTCCAATGCATTGCATCTGAACTGGCTTGAAAGTGTAGAATTTAGCACAAAACAAGTAGTAAACAAGGTTNCTTGAAAGTTCAACCCCATCTTCTTTTTCACTGCCATCTCCAATGCATTGTATCTGAACTGGCTTGAAAGTGTAGAATTTAGCACAAAACAAGTAGTAAACAAGGTTAACAATCTGAAGCAGTGTGATCAACCAGTAAAAATACTCCAACTTTCCGTCATTCAAATCATTATCAGGAAGCCAATTTGATCCACCAGGGCCTTCACTGAACTTGTGAACCAACGAAACCAAAAAGGTACTCACATAATTCCCAGCAGCAATAGACATCCAAAACAATGCTGAAGCAGTACTCCTCATGCTCTCTGGTGACTGATCATAGAAAAACTCAAGGTGTCCAATGGACATGAAAGCCTCAGCTATCCCATGGAGGCAATACTGTGGCACAAGCCAAAAAACCGATATCGGGACACATGTATTATCTCCTCCACAGGACAAAACAGCATGTTTTCTCTTTACTTCAATGAAACCAGCAACAAGGGTGGCTAAAACTGAGATGACAAAGCCAATGCCCATTCGCCTAAGGAATGAAATGCCCCGTTCGAGCCCTGTGAAACGACGAACGATGGGGATGAAGATTCGGTCGTAGAAGACGATGGTGCCGAGCATGGTGGAGAGAGTGAAGACTGTCATGGAACCAGCTGGGATTTGGAAGGAGTTTGTGACGTGCCTGTTCATGGTTTTGGCTTGTTGGAGAGAGAAAGTGTTTTGTTGAGCATAGGCAGTTATGAGGAGAATTCCTGCTGCCCATATTGGACCCATTCGGATCACGGATTTTAGTTCTTCGACCCGATGGACTGTGTTTAGTCTCCATAGGTTTGGTGTTTCTGAAGCTTTGATGTTATCTTCTTCAGTCACAGTGGCTGCTTTGTCCAAAAATCTACAGTCCAACATAGAGACTAGGAATGAGTTGCCTAAACTGCCATACAATTATAATAACATACTATTGAGCGGGTACAAGCCGAACTTCTCATCTTAGTATTAGATATTTGAGTCTTAAAGTTTATATTAAATTCAGTTGTTGATCGCTATGTTAACTTAATTAAATTTATTTTTAAGAGAAGTAATAAACATAATCAAGAACCTTAGGATCCCACCAGTAAGAATCTATCAGTAGAGTGCTGTCACCCCTTTTGGAAAAAAAGGAATTATAATAACAAGAGAGTGAAAATTATACTTTGACTCTCTTACCTATGTCTCTATCTCAAATTGCTCCACCAACTATCACATTTGTGACGTTGCACTTTCAACTATGATTGTTGGTTTAATTTACACTGCACCAACCGAAAAAGTTTGCTACAAAGTGGATGGAAAATTCAAAATTGTGTGATTTCTCCCACAAACTATTCGTTTCTCTACTACCAAAATCTAATGACACAGGAAATATAAAATCATGAAATAGTTGAAGGGACAATGTGAAGGACTCAATAGCAGACGAGAGCTGAAGTGAGATGAGAGCCAGAGTTTACAGATTCAAAGTGTAATTTACCCAAGAAATTAAAGAATAAAAAACATGAAATTTTGAACAGTTATATATATATATATATATATAATTTAACTATAAGGGTGTTTTTATCCGTTTGCATGCATCTAGACTAATCTCCTCTCCTGTTCGGTTAAAGATAGAACATCCACGCTGACACTAAAATATTCACGAGGGATAAATCTTTTACAGCTTGACTATAAGGAGTTGAGCCAAAATTCAAATTTAAAATATCTAAATGAATAACTCTTCTTTATTACCACTTAACCTACCTATCGAGAAACAACTATATATTTCAACTCATCACATAGGATCTTCTGGTCTTTTGAGGGTGTGTATCATCTGGAAATAACTGGAACAGCGGACTGATATTTTCAGTCCATGACAACCGACTCAGGCGGTCCATGAAAACGTTAAACCAATTCATTGAACAATAACATGTTCCTCTTGCAGAAGGATGATGGGGATAAGTCTGGAAAGGCCAGATCACACACACCCCCACCCATATTTGTTGTTTAGCATAAAAGCAAACTTTGATGAAAGACAATCACATGCATTACTAAAATTAACACACACACGTACTCAAATGTCTGTATTAAAAAATAAGACATTTGCCCGCAATATCGTATCAAATAATACGATGTTTGCTCATAATGTTGCATTTTTTAACTTATTTTCCAGTAGTTTTCATGAAAACGTTGGACTCACCCCGTTAAGGTTTTTAATTCAGAATTACGCTGAAAAATGTGAGTTAATTCAAGCTTATATAAACTACGTTAGAATTGTAAAAAACTTTGAAGTGCGAACTGACAAATTCTTTTTGGTGCGGTGGTCCACCTATAAAGTCTTCAAAGATGTTGATGATGATAACAAAGATTGTCCACCAATTACCGACATGAAGTAAACGTTTGGACAACTATGCAGTGACTTGCGAGAAAAAAATTGATGGTGATTGAGCACTCTTACTATTAAAAAAAGAATATATATGTAAAATTAATACAGCGTTGTCAATAAAAAATTAAAAATCAATTTTTTTTTTAAGTTTTTGAGATAGTAACTACTCATTAAAAATCATAAAAAGGGTTAAGCTTGCGTATTAAGTGAAATATATATATAAAAAACGCCCATGACGTAGATTGGTGACTTTCATTACACTTCGAAGGAGCTTTCACTCTTTTTAGAGTAAATTAGGTTAATAAATTAAGTCTCAATAATATCGTCTAAATATCATCTCAACAAGTTCTCATTGGTGAGATCATGAGACTTTTGATCGTACCTGTTACTCTTTTCGAAAAAAATAAACTTAATTAAACTAATATAACTCTAAAACACGAACCTCTAATCTCAAAGTGAAAAATTTGGTCTATATCATATTGGACAACCCCGCTCTTTGTGTGAACTTTTTCCTTTATTTTTTTCTCCCTATAGTGAAGTGTAAAAGAGGGCAGCTTTATCTGCTTCTCCACTCTTGCATCACCATCCACATTTTTTTCTCTTTTTTGTTTACCTCTCGTCATACCAAAACTACTTATCCTTTTTGGGTGCAATACTTTTAACCTTTTCCCATTTTCACACACCGAGAGAGAGAGAGAGAGAGAGAGAAAGAGAGAGACTTACTTCATTTGCTTGGTATGAAGAAGCTTCCCAGCCACAGAAATANAGAGAGAGAGAGAGAGAGAGAGACTTACTTCATTTGCTTGGTATGAAGAAGCTTCCCAGCCACAGAAATAGAAGCATCAAGCTCCTCATTCTCATACAATAACTTAGGATCAGAAACCACTGGTACCCTCCTCTTCTTATATGCAGCCACACAAACTTGCACCAATCTTGTAAATGGACTCCCAGCAGGATCAAGGTTTCTATACAAAGGGTACCCTAAAATGAATGCAATAATTGATATAGCCATAGCTATGCTTGGAATTCCAAGGCCCCAACCCCATCCAATATTGTCTTGAACATAAACAATCACTGTCACTGCCACAAGCATTGATGCCCCCATGCAGAAATAGTACCAATTGAAGAACTTCCATGTCTTGGTCTTTTGCTTCGGGTCCGTTTCGTCAAATTGGTCGGCCCCAAATGCCACCACGCACGGTCGGATACCACCCGAACCGAGTGAGGTTAGCATGAGTGCTACATAGAGGATGGCAAGTTGGCCAGAATTGGCTTGTTGGCATACTTGATTAGCTTTACATGGGGGAGGCCTTAGCTGGGGGAGTACTGCTGATAATGTTAATATTATCATTCCCTGATTGCAAGAGAATTAGGATGAAGTTAGTCAATTATTGAGTGACAATTGATATGAGCTGAAAGGGGAAAAATAGAATAGAAAAAGGAGACAAAAGGGAAATCAAAGTAAAGGAAAAACGTTTAAATTCTGTTGCAAACCTTGACAAGAAATCCTCTATTATTTACATGCTATAGTCTACCATATGTACCTCTAGCTAGTGGAAAGTAAAGCTTCCTCCCATTAAGATCGGGAAACTTTTGAACTTCTTGAGACTTGTTCAACACAATATGAATTTTGAAACATTATCCACATGGAGGTTTATGGGATGAATTATTATACTGAATTCCACAAGATTTATGGGATGAATTATATATAATTGTTGCAATTGGAAAGAGGGAAAAGATACTCTATATGGTAGAAGAAAATTAAAACATATTGTCAAGGCTAGAGTATCTCTTTGCTTGATTCTCGATCACATGAGTATTGACTATTACTAATTGTCTCCTCTGATGGACGGGTTATGTTTGGAAATATTGGCTGTGATAATTTCTCATATCTTCTATATCAAATGGGCTTGTTTTCAGGCCGCCGGACTCCGGCAAGAGGGCCGGCGTTTATCTTTCCACCTGAACAAAATCTGTTTTTTATTTCCCGACGTTTGAGCATTCTNCCATATCAAATGGGCTTGTTTTCGGGCCGCCGGACTCCGGCAAGAGGGCGGGCCTTTATCTTTCCACCTGAACAAAATCTGTTTTTTATTTCCCGACGTTTGAGCATTCTTGACGCCGTTTTAGGCAACGTTTGAAACAAACGCGGGTGATGGATTTTGCCGGCATTGTTTTTGGATTATTGGATATTTAACCACAGGGAAACAGGCATAAAAATTGCTTCTCTTACCTAATGGAAGGCATTGAAGTTCTTCCAATTCAAGTACCTAAGTCTTCTATACGTCTCCCTTAGTCTTTTTACATTACAGATCTTTCTAGAGAGAAAGAGAGAGAGAGAGAGAGAGAGAGAGAGAGTTACTATTTGGTATATCATGGAAGCAACTGTGATGGTCCAAAAGCGTCCGACGAATGCATCGGCCATGAATGCCCCAAGCAACGGCGTCAAGCTTGCAGTTCCACCAAAGTTGGTGAGGGTATTTGCTGCTTTAGTTATTGGCATATGAAGCTGGCCTGTAAAGTAGCTAATCATATTAGCAGCAAAACCAACCACAGCCAACTTCTCAGCTATCTCATTTGCTGCACAAAATCAAATGCCAAAATTTAGAATCTTAATCAACATGAACTCCTCAATAATTACTATGAAACGAGAAACCGAGATGACACACACAAATCAAGAAATCAATATGAAACGAAAAACTATGTTTATAGTTGTACATCACAAAAGCTAGCTTACCAAAGATGAAGGGCATAGTGATGATTCCTCCCTTCATCCTCTCTTTCTTCTGCACAATTTCCATTGTGTTATCAAGTGGTTTAATGCTCCAAATGGCCCTCCAAAGCCCCACTACTTATAGGCCTCCATGAAGGGTTTTGACACAGTAACTACTGCCTGAGTAATAGCCCTTGGTTGGTAGGTTTATGACAAGAATTTTGGTATTTTATTTAAAAGTTCAATTAAGGAATTATAGAAGATTTTATTTTATTTCTTAATTTTAGTAGAAAATTATTTTTAAATTTAATTAAGATTTTATTTTATTTGGATTCTTAATTTATTTAAGATTCTAATTTCCTAATTGTTTTAGGGTTTCTATTACTATTTAAAGTCTTGTAAGTCTAAGGGTTAAACACCTTTTGAGTATTAAATACAGTTGAAAGAGTTTCTCTTTTATTCTCAATTTTTCTCATATCCATAGGAATTGGCGAGTTATCGATACCTTTAGGAATGATATTCTTTTTGACCCAGAGGTCTAGAGTAAGAAATTAAATTGGTATATATGCACAAATCAATAATTTATTTTCATTATCACTTTTTGTTTATTATATCTTAGTTTTTACCAGCTTCTTAGCATCACAAATAAGAAGCTAGGGCCTAGGAGAGAGTACATGATTGGGATAAATGAGAGTCAAATTTGTCCAAATGTGACATTAGTATGATTGCATAAACATGTGAGGACAGACAAATGCAGTTGGTTCCACTTTCTCTAAGCTTGTATTGTTGTGCTGCTGATATGTGATCCAGTTTTACTGACAGCCATGGGAAGATAGGCTAGACTTCAGTTCATTTATGAATCTAGTAGTGCTCGTTTCGTTCAATTTATGAAAAAAAAAAAGAAGCTATTCGTAGAAACATAACTTCTCATTAAGTACTTTTCATTTTTGAAATAAAAAAATTCATTTTCAACCTACTGACCAAGTATTTTTAGCTTTAATAACAAGCTCTTTCAATAACTTACATGATACTTTCTTTTCTTTAACCATTTTCATGGGTTGCCAACCATAGCCACCAGACCTAACATGTAAGTTCTGTGTTTTGTGCTTTATATATATATATATTTTCCTTTTATCTGGGGCCCCTTAAATAATTGCTTGTTGGTTTAATTGTAGGATGCTGTACTTGTCACAAAAAAGGTTGGTATTGGAAACTTAGAAAAGTTTTGTGGTGGGAAATCCAAATATCCCAAACTAGAACTCTGCTTGATAAATCAAAAAGTTGTGCCCAATTTGCTAATTTATTAAGATGAGTCACGACATAAGCATTGTCAATAAACAGGAAAAAAGAAACCTAGGGCACGTTTGGATGATAGTAATTTTAATTGGAAATGAGTATCTCATTCCTAGTAATGAGATACTCGAGTTTTAATTACTATAGTAATCTCATATTTAATGCTTGGTTATTCTGAATAATTTAGTGTGAGAATTAATGTTATTGTCAAATTATTTTGAAAACAATTTAATTTTAGAAAGGGAATTATTTTTAGGAGGAGAACTTAACTTTTGAAATGAAGTTAATTTTAGGAATGNAATCTCATATTTAATGCTTGGTTATTCTGAATAATTTAGTGTGAGAATTAATGTTATTGTAAAATTATTTTGAAAACAATTTAATTTTAGAAACGGAATTATTTTTAGGAGGAGAACTTAACTTTTGAAATGAAGTTAATTTTAGGAATGAATTTCATTTTGGGATTTTTATTCCTCTTATAGAATACCCAATCAATATAAGTATGAGATTACTACCATTGACAATGTGTTTAGGAAACCCACCATTATTGAGAATTAGATTACGGTAATAATGTTATTTTCGAATTAAATTACTGAANCTCAATCAATATAAGTATGAGATGACTACCATTGACCATGTGTTTAGGAAACCCACCATTATTGAGAATTAGATTACGGTAATAATGTTATTTTCGAATTAAATTACTGAATAATTAACTCTCCAAACATGATAATTTAAGGTTTAAAAATGAAAATCTTATTTCTAATTAAGATTACCGTCATCCAAATGGGACTTAAGTTATTATCAACAACCTTGCTGTAAGAAGAATGACAAAGTATTTTCAGAATTTAGACTTATCATTTTTCATAATTTATCTTATTAGCAATTAAAAACTGCATTAAGTTTGAGTTCTAGGCTTGGTATAATTGGATGGATAATTTTTTATTTATTTAATTTTAATTGATGGGTGGCATCCATGACATGCATTCATGCCAAATAAAAGTCGAGCCTTATTAGTCATCGATGGTGACATGACCTAAGGCACAATATAAACAAATGATAAGGAAGGCTACCAGTATACCACACTAATTAGCATTATTATGATCACTAATGATTGACCAATTCTATGATGATTAGGGTAATTTTACGATACCGAAAATAATTTTATGGTAACGAACTAAAAGTTACTATTTTTTTAAGGCTTAAGTTACACCGTAAATTCATAATCGATTATTATGGATACTCTTAATCAATTATAACTTGATTTTTAAAAGGTATAATTTAATTTTAAGAAATTATAATTTGACCTAAAAAATTTAAAAATTTAAGTACGATACCAATTTTAGTACCACATTTTTTTTTCTCTTATGTTTAAGTCCTATTGCACTTCGCTATCCTCACAGCATCACCATATGATTTTGACTTGTTATTATAATTTCTATTAACAAATTGACATGTGGAAATTTTGAATCGAACGAATATAAAAAGACAAATATATCATTGTGGAAATTATAAAGGGACACAAATGTGTCCTAACTCTCTTATTTTCTTCTAATTTTCTTATTGTTTGTATCCACTCAAAAAAATAAAAAAAATTCTCTAACAACTAGGCGTGTGAATTTGGGCAGCAGAAGTAGATCCAAGAGAGACAGACAATCCCAACGATGACTACTCGTCCCCCCTATCTCTGTCAGAGCCGGCCCAAAAATTCCGAACTCCACACATAATCACATTTAATAAAGGATAAAAAATGATTAATAAAAAAAAATACTGACAAAATTTATCTCTATCGAAAGAAGTAGAATAAGTATCTATTTTTAGTAAAAAAAAAAAAATCAAACTAAACACATTCTTTATTTCTCTTAAACTTTTTTTTTCTCATTTGAACGTAAAACACCAATTAAACCATTTATTCTCATTAAAAAAAAAATGTTTTGATAAAGTTCTTATTCGTAGCGAATACAATATAACAAAAATTTAGGTGAGAGTTGAATGAATAAATAAATAAAATTCAAAGATAGTCAAATAATCTATAATAATGAATTTATTTATAATAAAGTTAATCATCTAATTCCACAGTTTCGATAAAGAATATATAAAACTAATAAAAAAGAACATAAAAATATTAATGAAGAAATTAATTTTATTCCTATAAATATTTATGATCAAAAGTCATATTATTAATTAAAAAAACATATTAGCAAAATTTAAATAAAAAAAATTAGTAATTTCGAATCTCATAAAAAAGTGAAAATAATATATTTTAAATTAAAATTTTTAATTATTATTAAAAAAATATAAAAATATCATTGACCGTCGTTATTTTAGGCCTAAAATATTGTTGAGTCACCTCTGATCTCAATCTCTCATAATTTACAACTACAATCAATAATAATTTAATATACGTGCACGTGTGTGTTCGGGTTGGGTTGCCGGCGATGGTGATGTTTCGGGGGTTTAGAGTAATAGTAATATTATAAAGACTTAAAAAATTTGAGTTGATAATATGATTGTTATATTCGATGGTAATGGTTCATTAAATTAAAATTTTAAATTAAATTTTTAAGTGTATTTAACATTTTCCTTAGAGAAGGAGTGGGAAAGCAACAAAAGGTTCNTTTCGAATTAAATTACTGAATAATTAACTCTCCAAACATGATAATTTAAGGTTTAAAAATGAAAATCTTATTTCTAATTAAGATTACCGTCATCCAAATGGGACTTAAGTTATTATCAACAACCTTGTTGTAAGAAGAATGACAAAGTATTTTCAGAATTTAGACTTATCATTTTTCATAATTTATCTTATTAGCAATTAAAAACTGCATTAAGTTTGAGTTCTAGGCTTGGTATAATTGGATGGATAATTTTTTTNACGAAGAGAGAGAGAGTGAGGGTGAGGGTATAATGGTCATTTCATAATTAGGTCAAAACTTTGTTCCTTTGATTTGGGTCGAGGGGGGTGTCGTAACTTTGTTGGGTGAATTCGACTGGAGGGTGAAACAAGAATTCCACTTGAATGATAAGACAATCCTAATAATTTTAAAGGGTANTTTTTATTTAATTTTAATTGATGGGTGGCATCCATGACATGCATTCATGCCAAATAAAAGTCGAGCCTTTTTAGTCATCGATGGTGACATGACCTAAGGCACAATATAAACAAATGATAAGGAAGGNTATTTATTTAATTTTAATTGATGGGTGGCATCCATGACATGCATTCATGCCAAATAAAAGTCGAGCCTTATTAGTCATCGATGGTGACATGACCTAAGGCACAATATAAACAAATGATAAGGAAGGNAAGAGAAATAAATCTTTCATTAATATCCTAGTCTCGACGTGGATGACTTGCCTTTGATTGAATCGAAAAAAATATTAGTTGAAGTGTGCGTAAACTGATTTGAACATCTCTAACCGTTCAAATAAAAAAATAAGANGGCTACCAGTATACCACACTAATTAGCATTATTATGATCACTAATGATTGACCAATTCTATGATGATTAGGGTAATTTTACGATACCGAAAATAATTTTATGGTAACGAACTAAAAGTTACTATTTTTTTAAGGCTTAAGTTACACCGTAAATTCATAATCGATTATTATGGATACTCTTAATCAATTATAACTTGATTTTTAAAAGGTATAATTTAATTTTAAGAAATTATAATTTGACCTAAAAAATTTAAAAATTTAAGTACGATACCAATTTTAGTACCACATTTTTTTTCCTCTTATGTTTAAGTCCTATTGCACTTCGCTATCCTAACAGCATCACCATATGATTT